CGGCGCATCTATGTTGATTTTGGGGAATTGAACCGGACTCAGTGCTCCCTGTAACATAAAGTGCGATTTGCAGCCGGATTACTGGTCCGGTGCTCTAGGGTCGGGCCGTTTGGAGTCCTTTGTCCTTTTTTTTTTTTTTTTTACTTTTTACAGTTATCTATTCTTTTCAGGAGCTTCGGGTTGCTTTTAGGTCTAGCTTGCTCAAAGGGAAAAAAGGATCTTTCTGATTGATCTTAGCGAAAGTTAAATTGAAAGCAATGTGCATTTCTTTTCCTTGGGGTTTGACCGTTGCCAAAAAAAAAAAAAAAAAGAAAACCGACGATGCGATACCGGAAACGGGCGATCCCTAATATACCCGATGGCTGGGTGCTTTTGCAGGACACGCGAGCAATGCAGGATGGACTTCGGCTACCCCAGACGTGCAGGGATGAGGTTGCAGTAGGGTGCCGTCTGGGGCAGCTTTCCATGGAATGGCTCGTGGCCATCGATCGGACGGTTAGCCGGCACGGTTCGTGAAGGATTGCTATCGACCCAGTAGACCGCAAAAAAGCTGTTAGTCAAATAGATGAATGAACGGTCGATTGGGCACGGCCAACCATAGGCCGAACGAAGCCCTTATCAGCAATGCCGGCAGCGTATCTCGGCGAAACCCCACATCAACATCCGGCCTTCGCCTCTGCCTTTGACGCTTCATTTATAAAACCCGCCCCGGAATCCCTTCGTGCATGTCGCCTCCGGTCTCTTTGCCCTAGAGAAGGTCATCGCCGTGCGATAGTATCACATCCCCAAGAGTCTGTGAAAGGAGCCTGGCCATTGGTCGCGTGCATACTCCCCGGTCGTCGCATCGGATCCATTCCTTTTTTTTTTTGTTGTTTTATTTTATTAATTTTTTCTGTTGTGCCATCCACTCCCTGTCCACTGATTGGCCCATCCAGTCCCGATCGCCTGCTGCTGGGTATTTTACAGCGTCGGTGATTCGCAGGCCAAGAGACAACAACTGAGCTCCGCTTTGGAAACTACTGTCGGCGAAGATGCACCTCATTCCCAAGGAGGTACGTCCACTAAAGCAGGGATCCTTCGCGGAGATCCAGATCTATAAATAATTCCCCCATAAGTGTTAGATGCTGACCTGGGTGGCTTCGGTAGCTTGATAAACTTGCGATCTCGCAATTGGGCTTTTTGGCCCAACGGCGTCTCGCACGTGGTGTACGACTGAATCATGCAGAAGCAGTGGTATGTTGATCTGCTATTCGCGGTGGCGTATCGATGGAAGTGGACCAGCACTGACATCCCTCGTTGAGGCTTTGATATCCTCGAACCTGCAGGAGCTCATTCGCGATGGCCTCTACTCCGTGGCCGACTTGATGTCCATCGGCAAGACCATGCTTGGTCGTCGTCATGTCTTGCCGTCGGTTGTCTCCACCCTTATAGAACTACAAGTCGAAGGCACGTTCCCGACCGGCACATACCTCGTAACGGTCCACCACCCCATCAGTAGCGACGAAGGAGACTTAGAGAAGGCTCTATACGGGAGTTTCCTTCCAATCCCCCCGGCGGACGCATTCCCGGACCCGGACCCGAACGACTTCGAGCCCGAAAAGATGCCCGGTGCGATCATCCCCGTGAAGAACGAGCGCATTACGTTGAACGAGGGACGACGGAGAATCAGGCTCAAGGTGATGAGTAAGGGCGATCGGCCCATTCAGGTGAGTGCAGTTCGGCCCCTTGGAATTGTCCGGTACTCATCTGATGAACTCGTAGGTTGGGTCCCACTATCATTTCATTGAAGTGAACCCGCAATTGCATTTTGATCGTCTTCGCGCGTATGGCTATCGCCTGGACATTCCTGCGGGAACATCTGTACGATTCGAACCGGGAGACACTAAGACTGTGGTGCTTGTGGAAATTGCGGGCCATCAGATTATCAAGGGGGGTAACTTCATTGCCTCCGGCAAGGTCGATCTGAGCAGAGTGGACGAGATCATGCTGCGTCTGCAAGCTGACGGCTTCGCTCATATTGCCGAACCCACTGCGGATGCCGCTCTCGTTGCCCCATTCACGATGGACCGAGAGGCATACGCTCGAATGTTTGGCCCTACTACCGGTGATCTGGTTCGCTTGGGATTGACAAACTTGTGGGTCAAGGTTGAAAAGGATTATACGTCTTACGGTGATGAGTGCAGTTTTGGTGGAGGCAAGACTATCCGAGATGGAATGGGTCAATCATCGGACAAGTCCCACCAACACTGTTTGGACACGGTGATCACGAACGCGCTGGTGATCGACTGGACCGGTATCTACAAGGCCGATATTGGAATCAAAAACGGTATCATCACCGGCATTGGCAAGGCGGGAAATCCCGATGTCATGGACGGCGTACACCCGGAAATGGTCGTCGGCTCCTCGACGGACGTGGTCGCTGGTGAGAATAAGATTGTCACCGCTGGAGGATTCGATACGCATATTCATTTCATCTGTCCTCAACAGGTGGACGAAGCGTTGGCTTCCGGAATCACTACCTTCTTGGGTGGAGGAACTGGCCCCTCGACAGGTTCGAACGCGACCACTTGCACCCCGGGACCCACGCATATGCGCCAAATGATCCAGGCTTGCGACCACCTCCCCATCAACGTGGGTATTACCGGCAAAGGAAACGACTGTGGTGGCGTCAGCATTAAGGAACAAATCTTGGCGGGAGCAGCGGGACTGAAGCTCCATGAAGACTGGGGCTCCACTCCTGCAGCTATTGATACCTGCCTGGATATGTGCGACAAGTACGACGTGCAGTGCATGATCCACACCGATACTCTGAATGAGTCTGGTTTCGTGGAGCAAACAATTGAAGCCTTCAAGAACCGCACGATTCACACCTACCACACGGAAGGAGCCGGCGGTGGCCATGCCCCTGATATCATCTCCGTCGTTGAGCACCCGAACGTACTTCCCAGCAGCACCAACCCCACCCGTCCGTTCACGATGAACACTCTGGATGAACATCTTGACATGCTGATGGTGTGCCATCACTTGTCTAAGAACATCGCCGAGGACGTTGCGTTTGCCGAGAGTCGTATCCGTGCCGAGACCATCGCCGCCGAAGATGTCCTCCATGACCTTGGCGCGATCAGTATGATGTCCTCGGACTCGCAGGCTATGGGCCGCTGTGGTGAAGTGATCCTGCGGACATGGAACACGGCGCATAAGAACAAAGAGCAGCGCGGCCCGCTGAAGGAGGACGAAGGCACAGGCGCCGACAACTTCCGCGTCAAGAGGTACATCAGCAAGTATACCATCAACCCAGCCATCGCCCAGGGCATGTCCCACATGATTGGCAGCGTGGAAGTCGGCAAGGTTGCCGATTTGGTTCTCTGGCATCCCAGTTCTTTCGGTACCAAGCCTACTCAGATCCTCAAGAGCGGAATGATTGTCGCGGCACAGATGGTATGCATAAGTTATTTCCCTCAACATAAAGCAAGACACTAACATGCTATTCAGGGTGATCCAAACGGCTCCATCCCCACCATCGAACCGGTTATCATGCGTCCTATGTTCGGAGTACGTCCCCTTCACTCCCCCTCTGATTCTCTCCAGAAACCCTCCCCCTTTAACATGATATCCCAGGCCTACGTCCCCAGCACCTCTATCATGTTCGTCTCCCAAGCCTCCATCGACGCTGGCACCGTCCAAACCTACGGAATCAAGAAGCGTATCGAAGCCGTCAAGAACTGCCGCAACATCGGCAAAGCGACATGAAGTACAACGACACCATGCCCAAGATGCACGTCGACGCGGAAAGCTACGCCGTCGAAGCCGACGGTGTACTTTGCGACGCCCAACCTGCCGGAAGCCTACCACTTACGCAAGACTTCTTCGTTTACTAGACGATGATAAAAATTCTCTCTCTCTCTCTCTCTCTCGTTTACTTTGTATTCCCGTTTCTGGTTGTGTTGAGATACCTAACCTGTATGCGTGCGTGTGTTTTTGGCACATTTCCTTTCTTAACTTTCTTGTTGTATAGACTAGGGTATAGGTTGGTTTCTTTTGCATTTCGGGAGATGTGTGCATATTAGCATGTGTTATGAATGTGTGTAATGATATCCATCTTTCTTTTTTATAATGAATAACTCGGTGTTTCTTATAATTATACGTGTATTTCAGTATATAGGATAGTAGCCCCCGTACTTGGGTTTAGTCAATGGGGTTGGAGTTGGTTATAGCTCGATCTCCTCTTCCGTGTGATTGTCCCCCGCTGAAACAAGCCCCATCGACGCCCAGGCCTCGTAACTATCCGCTTTAGCAGCTAGATATGCGGCTCTCCGTGCCCGGGACGAGCTGCTGCTTCGCTTTAGGGTATTAGCCGTCCGGGCATCTGTTGATAAAGACGCCGTAGTCTGAACCTCTAGTTGTTCTGGAGTTTCGATATGCTCCTCAAATACACCATCAAAACCCATATCACTGGCTGGCCCCAACAGCTGTTCTTGGGATGCAAAGGCGGAAGAGGAGATGGAGAGTGAAGGGCTGAATTGGCGTGCTGGCCCTGGTTCTGGTTCTTCGATATTGTTGTCCGTGATATCAACGTCGACGTTTGTGTCGAGGTCACTGTCAGATAGCTCATCGACGTGATGCGGTGTCTCTCCATCTGCGGTGGTCTTCCCCTGATAGTCGGGCTCCTTGTCTTCTTCGGTAGACCATGAAGAGGGGAGAGAGCCAAGGTGGAATGGGGTTTGGTCCGAGCGAGCGTTGTTCAGGAAGTGCCATGCTTGGCGGACCTCGTTTTGTCTGGCTTTTTCTGTTGCTCGGGTTGATTCTGGGGTGGGGAGTGATGAGTTTAGTGCTTGGTTGTTGTTGTCTTGGATGGTCTCTAGGGATGATGGGATGCGGTCTGAAGATGAATACGAGGATGAGAGTATGTTTGGTTTTGCAGTGTGGGCTTTGCGGAGGCTTGGTTGCGGCTGTGTTTCCTCTTGCGAGTTTGTTGTGTCTGGTTGGGGATTGGTGTGGCCTGGGGCTCTTCTATCTGGCTTGTATCGTCGCCGGGGTTTCTGGTGGAGAAATCCATTGGGGCTCTGGGTATGATGTCGGATGTACTGGATAGCTGGCTCGATTGTGATGCGGGCTCTTCGTAGCGAGCTCGTTTCCTTGAGCGGAGGTCTTCGTCGTTCTCCAGCATGTCTCGCATGTGATGGTCGTGGGTGAATTCCGTTCCTGAGCATAGATGGCCGAAGAGACTTTGCATGGAGACGTCCTCGTCCCACGCTAGAGGATCCACTGTACAAGGGTATATGTCTTTTGGTTTGAATGCGGAGACCAGCTCGCATAATTCTACGTAGGATGAGTGGCGTGAATATGGAAAGTGCTACTAGATGTTAGGGCATATCCGACTCAGCTTATGCAACCTCACTCACAATAACTTTTGGAAGTGGATTTCCTAACGTATCATGTTGTCCTGTTGATCCTTGGTTCTTATTGGGCCAATCTTTGTCATGGTAACGGTGTTGACTGAGGATATTCACTAAGCTTTCTACGGGTATGTCATGATCATCTTTCATCCCATAACGATCAAGTTGGAGTGCTTTGCTTTTGGACTTGAAGGCCCCGACAAGCGCCTCTCGCGTCTTCGAGAGTGTTTGTGAATCGTGGATTCTTTCGAGACAAAGTTTGTCCAGCTGCTCTAATGCCAACTCGTTCGGGATCTCGAGCTCATGAATCTGATACAGGTCACCACCTCCGCCTCCAGCCACAATTTCGGGTATTTCCGAGCCGTCATTCGTTCGACTAACTATCGGGATTATATAAACCGGTTTCTTTGAAGAAATCACCGAACATTGTACGCCTGGCTCACAGCTGTGGATGCGACATCCTTCGTCTTCGCTCAGACAGCCAGGAACAAATCTATTTCCAAGCTCAAAGCCACAAAGAGCAGATGCTTCGCCGGTCCCCTTCTGAGCGGAAACGAGTGACCTATACAGGCCTATTTGGTACCGATCCACATGGATCTGTTTCGTCAGCCTAAGAATGACAGTAATGGGGACATATTGTATATCTATACCTTTGAGTTGAGAGCAGCAGAAAGTGCCATCCAGACTTCCTCGTATCCGAAAGTCCATGCTCGGAAGTAAAACGTAGTGTCCTCTGGGTAGGATGCCACTTTCTGCAGAAGTTCCGCTAATCCTTTTGCCTTGGATGGGAATGTACGGTATATGGACGAGTGGCGGGCAAACGTACTGTCGAGATAGATTTTATCCAGTTGTTTATCACCTAGAGTGTATGGAATGAGAACCGGATGCCGGATAAGGCTGTTGACCCACCAAGATTCCGCTGTTGTTTGTCAGAGCTACGGATCATCGAGTGGGTTGCTTTTTGAGGATACATACCACGAATATCGCCGGTGTAGAGAATGGATTTACCACTACCTTCGATGAGAAACATCACCGCCCCTGTGCAGTGATTGGCGTCTAATAGGGTAACTCGGATAGATAGCTGAGGGGTAAGTTCGATCATCGTCGGCGTGTTTAGTGGGATCGGTCGCTATGTGATATTAGTAGGGAGAAGAGAGTAGCATGGGGAGACAAGTCACCAAAAGCTTGGATAGGTGTTTGTAATGCAGCCTCCGGGATTCAAGGATGCCTTTACTGAAATTCATGCGGTGGGGATATTTCTCGATGTGCAAGAGCAGCTATGAACAGAGTTAGTACCCCATATGTTCGTGGTAAGGGGAATAATGATGGATAAATACCTCTCTAGTTGCTACCGAACAGTAGATGAATGGAGCTCGGAAGGACTCCAAGCCCTGGAGATGGTCACTGTGGACATGGCTGAGAAAGCCTGCCAGTGGAGGAGGCCTATCTGTATTCTTGCGAAAGTAATCGACTTTGTCTCTTAGTAGCTATGACTTTTGACAATGTATCATAGTGTTACTCACTCTGAATATAAGGGAATTCTATCCGGTTATTAGATTCTATAAATCTTTAAGTATTTGATCATTGATACGTACCATGGACGATCCCGTCAAAGGTCGACATTGGGTAATATTACAGCTGAATGAGTATAGAAGGTCATTATAGTGATCGAAGTGGGTACCATCAGTGTGGACAATCATACCAGTTCGTAGATCGCGAAAAAAGGTCTGATAAGAAACAGAAGATGATAAGGTTGCCTGTTATCCTGAGGTGTCGAAGGCGGAGTGGGATTGGAGTATAACTGGAAGTGCCCTGATATTCCCCAAATTCCCCCAATGGAGGAACGGATTTCATAGACCGATTCTTGAGGAAATCTTACCGCTTCTTCGTGCTTCATAGTGAGCCAATGAGAGAGTAGACAATAAGATTTATTTGTTAAGAGTGGCTAAGCTATCTCTTCTGCTTCTTTTCCTAATGGGCCATGTTCGTTCTTCTCCGCTAACTAGTTAGTTAGTTGATCGAAGCGGTGACTTAGTAATGACAACATTTTTTCTCCGACAGCTTTGGAATAGCTGCAACAACTACCAAGACGGTACTCCATGTTTAGACTCTAGACCTTCTATCAATAGCCCTGTCACCTCTTTGCCCCGTTAAGACTCCTCCATTCAAGTACCTACATGGGCCCCTGCCTGAGACCTAGACCACCGGGGTCGGATCATCGACCAAGTGGCTTGCAGGCGGCCAGCGCGAGGCGAGAGTGGGTGAGAGACCCGCTCGCCAACGCAGTCTTGTTCAGGGCTTTTTTGGATGGAGAAGCATGATTCTGTTGTCCCGGAATTAAAGTTGGCTAACTCACTCACAGTCACTAGTCAAGAATACTCCACGCAGTTGTTCCTTATGCGCTGTTCCATGCATGCATGACGGTGTTGTCAGCAGACATCATGATTGTTCATTTTCAGATGAAAACTCTCATATATAATAGACATCTCACTCCGGGTTTGGTTTCTTTTTCTTCTAATTTGTCTTCCACAGTTTCAACTACTACTATTGTAATTCATAATTTCCAATCATTTGTCCGTCGACTGCATTGATTAACATCCTCCTCTGTCGAGTACCGTCATGGGTATTTTTGTCTTTTAGTTCAGGAGACGGAAAGTTTTTTTAGCTTTGGGTCGCCACTTGTGCCTGAGGCCAAAGCTTCTTGGAGAAGTTTCACCTTATCCTGTCCAGGGGGGCTAAGAAGGTCCTTTCATTTGTGAAGGAAAGATTAATAAAAAAGATTTTTTAAAAAAAAAGAAAGAAAGAAAGAAAGAAAGGAAGGAAAGACGGCTACCGACAGATACCATACCTCTAAGGCATTCATCGCCCGACCTCGATTTTTCCCACCTGATAACCATTGCCATCGCCCAATCTATAGGCAAGAAGGGAACTATTGACACATCACCCACCGCTACTGCATGGTTGTATGCGTTGGACATACGCTCATTGATTTCTCCGCTTGCTCATTGGAAGATCCCGTATTTGTTATTTCTGGTTGAGGTTCTCCTGGCGACGTGAATCAACCAACTGAAACTCTAGTGAGATCTGGTATTCTAGATCGCCATTTGTCCATCATTTTCCTACTATTGAATTGGCGATCCCCATCTCGCTCCCTTCCGCAAACAAGGCAGTTGGAAATCTGGAATTCGCTATTTTCACTTGCCCTTCCCGTTTCGACGTATTTCGTTTCTCCTAAATATAGCAGGCGGTTCTAATCCCTGCCCACTGGAACTTTTTCTCTTTTTCCTGTTTATCTCCCTGGGGAAATTACCAAACCTTTAAGCCGTGTGTCTCAGCCGATCCCCTATCCTTTACCCCAACCTTGACTCCTATCGGGCATTTGATGCGGTATAATCACCAGTTACTTCTGTCGCATACATACTCTTTATACGCAACATCGTCCAGTTTGACGTCCCTTCACCATGCACAAACCTTCTTTGGCTCAGATTGTGCACAATGCCACCTTTCCGCGTCCGCGCACGAGCGATCCAGCGACATTCTCAGCTCACATCACCCGTAACCTCGTTCCCGAAGTTCGGATCGAAACGTCGACTTTCTATGGATCGCTAGACACCGTTGAAGCTCAATATCCTGGCCTTGATTATTCGTATGGTCCGCATCGCATGAGACTCAGTCGGTTCCCTTGGCATCGCCGGCTTTTTAGAGTCTTCGACGAGCTCGGTTTAACGGAGGCCGAGATATCCTCGCTGTGTCGCTGGGAAGGTACCAAGTCGGCACGGGAACGGTATGAGAAAGAAGAGGGTGTCAAGGTACAAGATACAACGGCCAATGGTGTCCGACCAGCGTCGCCATCCCCGCTGCCTTCTGTTGAGGTTCATTTCGAAGATGGTCCCGAACGGGTGAGAGAACCAGAGGTCAAGGCTGAAGTACGCGAGCACTTCGTTCCTGTGACTGACACCATTGATGACCGCGGTGTCGACTGTGATGTGCCCCAGAAGGTTGAAGAAGACTCGAGTGATGAGGAAATGGAAAGCTGTGGCGTGGAACTGAATCATCGTCTTCTTGCCGCAAGTGCCGCCCGCGAACGAGGTGCCAATGTTCCACTCGACGAGGACTGGGAGCAATGGTTGAAGGAAGCTGGTGAGCGAGGAAGTTACGCCGACGTAATCAATGCGATCCGAAGAGGCCAACCGTTGGATTTCTTGTATGACATGCCATACCTAAGTAGTAGGACAGGCGCTAGGCGATCCGTATCGCTCTCGGAACGTATCATTCTTCCACCAACGTCCAGCTTGCTCGCGGCGAGCACTTCTATTCGACGCCCTCCTCATTCTCCATCAGGAACAGCACGATAAGACCCACACGGCATGATGCTCGGTTCGATTTCTTTCTTTGCGTATCCTTGCAGTTTCTCCAGTTTTAGCAGGCAGGCATGTTTTCCATCTAGGTGCATTTATGGCGCATCAGCGGCGGTTTCTTCTCTCTTTTCTCCATCTATACGGGGCATAATACACTGTTCGATCGTTACTGTGGACCGCGATTAGGCTTCTTTCTCTCACTTTTCCCGACCGCTGATTGTTATAGATTTCCTTGCGTTTAGCCCTCCCGTCGAATCCTCTAATACCCCTCCTGTCTATGTCTTATCTCGTTGCAGCATTGCATAAAATGGCCATTGGTGTTTTTGTCGTCCAGAAAGTGACTTCGCCGCGATACATTTATAATATCCGTAGTTCTGCCTTCCAAAGTCCGTTGCGTCCGAACTTCTTTTGGTCATTTGGACTCGTCATGAATAACAACAATCTAAAGACCCCTTCACAGTTCACTCTGCACTCGGAAAAGGCACTCCGGTACGATATATATAACTACTACCCTCTTCTGGGATTACTAAGTTACAGGGCACGGCTCCTTGGGTGACAGCTGCCAGGCACATGGAGACTGACGATCGACTCCACTTGAGGTATACTATACTCTAATGTCACCTATTTCCCAGTATAGGAATAATGACTAGCCAATGAAGTTTAGTTACGGTGTCGTTATGTTCCCTTATTACACATGTAGATCTCGGTCGCATGAGGAATTCCCCCCCGGTTATAGTAGTATAAATCTAAATTGCCTGTGATAAAATGAGTGTTATCTTTGTCACGGGGCGCTGGAGCTCCAAGTCTCCACTTCTAGGTACTGTGTAGAGCTCCCCGCGATCTTCCCTCTCCACCCTTCTCACCGCAAACATCCCCCTTCCCCCCAATTTTTTGCGCCGGTAACAGAGAATGTACTTGTGCTATGATGCAATTACACTCTTAAGATGATGTTCTCTAGCTTACTATAGCACTTGCGACCGCCCTCCCTCACACTCGTCACCCTACAACCACCATGATCAAAGCGATCTTCTACAGCAAGTTCGACACCCAGGAGGGTAAGTCAATCATTCAATCTCACTGGGCTTTCCAGCACGGTAGTCAATTAACTAATACAATATTTAGGGCCTAAGGTCGTCCACCAAGTTCCCGATGGCGCAATAGTTCCCTCCTCAACCGCTCCGTCGCAGCCCCTCTTCCTGACCTTTTCCGACATCTCCTTCTTCGTGATTCCCCGTCAAGAGCTATGCGGAAACTTGATGCAGGTTTGCACGAATGGATACCGGATACTTGGCTACCCAATTTGCATGAAATCCCTGCGCTATGATCGCAACGAATTCATCTTTAATTTTTGCATCGTGCTGGCGGAGGAAGAAGATTTTAGCACGTACAAGAGTGTGGTCCAGAAACTTGCGGACCTGATGCATGGGTTAGAGGAGCAAGGCCAATTTCTTTCCAGGGATCACTCAAAAAGCGGCGAGGGGAAGGTTTATAGTTTGTGTGAGACATTGATGGAGGATCTAAATAACTATTGCGAATGCATGATTCCCATCGGTACGCGGCTTACTACATACAGAGCGGGAGGAGATGAAAGGAGCTCAATTGCTGACGTGAATGATACAGACGAACTAAACACCTTGAATATCAAGTTGTTTCCTATCTACCCCTCTCCTCCGTCTGTCAAAGCCTGGCACGTTCCCTTGTTCACTGTTCGGTACCAAACCTTCATGGACGAGAATTGGGATCTTACAATGCAACGAGTATGCCTCCCATACCATTGAGGGCTCTGGCAAAGTTTTGACAGGATACAGATTGTCCCCCACATCAACGGAGTCAACAGCGTCCGCATAATCTCCATCCTTGCCGACACAGACTTCTCTCTCACGTGCCGCGCAATCCGGCACTTGCTCTACTACAATTGTCTCTTCCTTCTCGACATCTTTTCTTTCTCTGCAATATACGCCCCTACGGCTCAATTCAGCTCTATGATTGCCTCAGACGAGAACATGCAGCGAGAATGCGCACGCTATGTCAACACTCTCTTTGCATCACCTGCTGCCGCATCAACCTTTACGAATCCTACCCGAAGCTACGACCCGGACACCGTATGGCCGCCCCTCGGTGAAATCGTCACAGGCACTAACGCCAGCGTCGATATAGCGAGCAGCAATGGCAGTGTTAGCCCCAGGAGCTCTAGTCCGGCCCCTACCATCACTGCGCCAGGAAGCACAGTAGCAGCAATAGAGGACCAACAGGAGAGAGAAGTAGTCGACGGAGTCGGACTAGTCGAGCTTTACGCCAGCCTCAAACAAGGCCAAAGCGTCAAGCAATGGTATATGCACCATAGCCGGCAACTAGCCCACATCGACATTCGTCGCTTCATCACGTTTGGCATCATCAAAGGGTTCCTATACCGTGTACACAAGTACGCTTACGCGACAGGTTTCCCTGCTCCACCTTCGAAATACCACCATCACCACCACTATCACAGTCAGGTAACCAGCGGTCCATCATCCAGAGGCCCCGGAACAGGGACCAATAGTCCCTATGCGTCAAGTGTAGGGGATGAGTCGGCGCCCATCGCCGCGCACCAGCATGATGGACCTTCGACTTCTGTACACAGCGGGAGTCGTCCTGGTACGGTGATCGAAGACGAGGACGACGAAGATTACATCGACGATAAGACTTTGTCCAAATACCTCGATGGGATGCATTGCTTTGATCAAATATGTACTGAACTGGAAATAAGCGAAAAGGAATTTACCGCTAGGTTGAAGCGGTATCCCGGGGAGGTGTTAATCATACATCGATGACCTTTGTCCGGTTAAACCTATCTGTTTTTTTACTAGGATTTAATGATACCCAATAAATGAACGCATTAGATGAAAGAGCATATTTGAAAATTTGAATCTTCGTTATTATTGAGTACTTCGGCGATGATCATGTACCCTCCTTCTAATGTAAACCCCAACGCCAAACACGTAAAGCCTCCATAATTGACGCTCAAATCAAACCCACGATTTCAATAACACCCAATCCCCGGTATGAATCATCGTGCAAAGTGAACGTAACAGGGGTTGAAAAGGGCAGTTGAAATGTACATAGAAAGCAGAAAAATAAACCATTATAGGTAAAGTTGCATGAGGAGGAGCGAGATGAAAATAAATCACTCCTGCTCCTCATCCCAACCTTCAACTTCTGCCTTCTCGTACTCAGCTATGAGTGACGGGTCAAAGACTGACTCATTATTCCTCGGCACAGAAGTCTTGCAATCTTTAAAAATCGGCCCGATACAGTCACGCCAGCGCTTGCGTCGGTCCATCAGAGTGCGAGCGACGTCCCCAATAGCGGGACGACCCACACCAGCGGCACTGACAACGTGGCTGCCGCCGCCAGCTCCGCCTGGCCTGTGCTTGGCCTGGGAACCCTTCTTGCTCTTCCCTAATGTCCGGGTCCGCTTGAGATAGGCCTGTTGTACCTGCGAGTCGAGATCGTCGTGGATGGTCATGTACTCCTGGTATGCCATGCGTTCACGGGCGATTTCTAGTAGTCTTGCTTTTCGGGCGCTGTTGACAATCATTTGCTTCTTTAGTTCGCTTTGCAGGAGACGTAGTCGCTGAGCGATGTCGTCGTCATAATGGGCGTCGTAATCGGGGTTGTCCTCGGCGCCTAGAAAGCCTACGTGTCGGAGTTCTGCTTTAAGGCGCTCATCGAGTTGGGCGTGGTCTAGTTTCGCAGCGGGCACTTTGAAGCCGCTTGGAGATGCATCGGGAAACGCTGTCGCGGAAGGTTGGTGTTTACTTTCTGAGTCTCCTGCAATTGGGTGATCGAGGTCCATTGCGTCGCCGAGTGAAGAACCGTTCGGTAATTCCCCGTTGACCGTGCCGTTGGTGCCAGGGTTTTCGTCGGGAGCGCGGTGTTCGTATCGTAGTAAAGAATAGAGACGACTAACTAATGGACCAACTGAGACCTTGTCCGTTTCCATAGTTTCGTCTGTCACCTGGTCAATGTTTCCACGTCCCTGGTTCAAGGGTAGACGCTCCTTGTTGCCGTTCTGGTCAACATTCATCAGTCCATCCTCCTCGGCCCAGATCTCATTATAGTGCCTCTTCCCACGTCGGGGCATGATGAACGGTGTCGCTCGATCGCCCTGTACCAGTTAGCTACGAGACATACTCGGCATCAACTAAGGGAACCAACCTTCTCTTTTAGGAAAGCAATGTCTTCTTCCATCAACGGGCGGACATATGGTTCGACGTAGGCGAGGAATGTATTCGCGCTGACCTGGTTTGTAGGCTTGGAATTGCTATAGTCTTTATCTGGAGCTACTCCAGCCATCATATGGCTTAAATCACTGGCCGGGAAACGAGTGACGCTGTAGATTTCTTTCCTTTCGTCATCGGTCATGTCAGGAGTGACATCACGTATATGGTATATGGTCGGGTCGTCGAATTTCACGGGGTTTGGACCGAAAACTTGGATTTGAGGCACAGCTGGAGCTGGTTCAGGCTGATGCGAGTCTGAGCTATCGTCCGACATGGGCGATCCAGGAGCTTGAGCTTCTGTGTCAGCCTTCACTTTTGGGGAATTGGGTTCTGGTGGCGACAGTGACGATGTACTCTTCGACTTTTTAGATACAGGCGATGCAGCTAAAGCAATTCAATATTAGCCTGCGACTGCAACATAGCAGTGCCGCAAATCCGAAGGGAGTTGGCCTATGAGCGACGGGGCTGGACTGCGGTTAAGGTGAATGTGAATGTGAGGAGTGCCAACTTACCACCCTCCACTTTGGTTTCCGCACCATCTTGTCGAGAAAGTTCATGAGCGCCATGAGCTAATGGGCGATCTTCCTTGGAACTGCTGCCCCGTTCTTTGCGCTTCTTTAATTTCCCTCCCTTGGGCGCTTTCGATTCCTCCTCTTCATCATCTGCCTCGCGCTTCATTTTCGGACGGTCACCGTCGTGCTCGGGTTCTTCCACTACCTCCTTCCGCTTTTGAGACAGCTCTCTGATGCCAGCATCGCATGCATCGCTACGAGCTTCTGCCAGCTGACTGAGTGTCTTCAGATGCTCCATCAATGTCTCCAGAGACTTCGAATCGGGAATAGGACCGACACCGCCCATCCTATCCAATATCTCTCCATATTGCGCGCTAACTGGAACGAGCAGTTTCGATACGTCATTATCGAGGTAGCTGGATACAGGCGCGGTGGTCGGGGCACTGAAACTCGAGTTGGGTGTGGTGTTTCGGCTTCGAGAGGGGCGCGCTTCACGGCCTTTGCCTTTTCCTTTGCTTGCGGAGGGCATGATGTGATGATGGCCTGAAAGGGTGTTTCAACTCGAGGAGCGGGTCGTGTAGCTGGATGTTTGTTTTGGATAGCTTTAATATCCCATATTATTCGATTGCCGGGCAGGGTTTGGCGTATTGTTCGTTCGGTTTACGGGGCTTTATGGAGTGCGCTTCGATAACTGGTCGCCGTTCATTAATATAAGCCCGGCAATAGGCTCTGGCCGTGTTCTCTTCTGTACTCCATCATCATCGGGATATCACGATGTTTCCCCAGACTTGGCACGTGAGGTCACATGGATCCACGTGATTCGATAATCGATGATCTTGATTAGCGATTGCCAAATATAGTAAGCGATTGGCAAGTGGAGATCATTCGAAGTAAACGGAAATTCTACTATTCATCAACCAAAGCTGCCCGGATCACCAAGAGTTGGCCAGTGTTATCTATGGGCATCGTGGCTAGACGTCTAATATCCTCTCCTGCAAATCAAAGCCACTAATAATGCAATATAGGTGGCTTTGCGCACCCTATGCCGCTTTCTAGGGATGCACATACATACATACATGGATGGAAGGTTGCATTCTTATCTACACTACGAGATAGGTTTCTTCACTCGTCAACATTCCAGGTGGCGAAGTGCATTGCTTCCATTTTACTTGTCTCATTTCCTGTACCTTTTTGTTGTGGGTATGTAAATGGCTCGTCACACTGACGGCGGAGATATCCGAAAGCGTCATGCAGTCGAACTGCGAACGGCAACCCGAGGGCAGCGGCATGGAGGAAAGACTGAATTCAACGGGATTCCAAGGGATGTATACAACCACTATACAGGAACAGGGAGAAATTTTTTCTCTTCACCGCAACCACTTTGTGAGGAGTGTCAGCAGTGGAAGCGACCATCACGGCCAACCATGCGACCTGTCAAACATTCCGCTTGAAACCATCGAATTCAATCCTTACATTCTTCCTGATTTAGGCGCAATACTTTAGATTCTGTCTCGACCGCGCAATTTAATGAAGATGTTTTGTTCGTTTCATCTCTAAGCCCCGGTTTTCCTGTTGTAAGGCAGTTCTTGTTGTTTCGCCATGCGTATGGTCCATATGATTGTTACTTTTGAAAAAGCTGTGCCACTGTCTTCGACACCGTTGATTGGAACCGAATCCACCTTTCAACAGTACATGCGAGAAACAAAAAACTAGCAATGTCTCCACCTGCTGCGGCGAAATCTCTCACCACGGCTGCCACACTCTTTCCAGGTCCAGGGAGAGCGACGAACACTACTCCATCGGCCAACGTACGTCTCAAGGGACTCCACCTATTGTATGAAGGGAAATTCTTACACTGAAGGACAGGACGGCGCAAGCTTCCGCTTCGTAGTGGATGGTACGGTCCAGACACTGTCCTCCCAAAATACTCCAGGAAATGCCCCAATACGAGGACTCATGTTCGTTCCTAGTCTCGATGTTGAGGATTCGTGCAACAATCTCACCGCTCCATTGATACCTGCCCATGTCACTCGCCATCCCGACGTGGATAGATTCAGGTTTCAGACCATTGGCCTTGCGCCGTGGGTGAATGCTGAATGTGCTGAGTCGTTCATTGACGCCTCGCAGCGTGTGGGTTCTGATGCGCTGGTGTTCTTCTTACCTGGGAGCAATAATACCAAACCGCCGCCAGCTGAACATCCGACGTGGTCATTGAAAGGCGGCGGGGATTGGAAGAGCCGAAATATCCTCCCCGTGTATGCGATCCCTGGGCCGGCGGGTGCTACTCTCATGAATCAGCTGGCGTGGTACTCGGGGAACACAAGCCATGCGCACAATGGTCACCCTGCTTCCGCATCTGTGACAGGCCGGCCTGACGTACGGCTGCTTAGCCTTATTGATTTTGGTAAGACTAAGTATTCCAATTATCCATCCGTGACGGATGCTGACAAGTGGTCTATAGAGAGGGCTCAAGGTAAAATGCCCAGTCTCTGGGGGTTCATTCTTGCTATCCTAGGGACAATCTTGGTTCTCAGCATGATTGTTCTTCTTTGCTATCAACTAGTACAGAAGAGGCGTCGGGAGAGGCTGCAGCGGAGGATTGAGTCTGGAGAGGCAGACATGGAGATGTTGGGTCTGCACCTCATGAAAGTCCCACAGGAGATCTTGGATACACTGCCGATATACACATATCCGGATTGGAGCGCATTGGGTGACACCCCTGAGTCCAACGACAAGTGTTCTGTACAGTCTAAGGAAGTCCCAGAATGCACGGAGGAAAAGGAGAAAACAGATACAAACCCCGACGCCATCACAGCAGACGAAGTACGGGATGACAAGAAAGACAGCCAAGAGAAAGAAGAGCCAGGAGACGAACAATTGTCGGGCGATGCCGACAACTCCCCCAGCACGCCGTCTGCTTCTCAGTCCCAGTCCTCGATCAACACCTGTCCCAAAGGCCGGCCTCCCAAACTTAAGAGACTGAGCCACTCGCAAACCACATGCGCCATCTGCCTCGAGGACTTCGTCCCACATAAGTCTACTGTCCGCGAACTCACCTGCAATCATATCTTCCACGTCGAGTGCATAGATGCCTCACTGACACGGAATAGCTGTCTATGTCCGATGTGCAAGAAGAGTGTTTTACCGCCAGGGTACTACCCGGTACCTATCACCAATAGAGTAGTCCATCGCGATTTCATGATGCGGAGGGCGAATTCAGATTGAGTTGGGTTTTGCTCGGGAGTTGGTTTATGTGGCTGTATTTGATGGATAGACGTTATGATACCCTGCATGTTTGGCTGTTTGTTTTGTGGTATAGGTCATATCATATAAAACATAGATCTTCAGATGTTAACTTTAGGTCTTGATGGATTTTATCTTTTTGTCATGCGTTCTTGTCTTGGTAGAACGAAAGATAGCATCCAGCTCAAAGAAAAGATCCAGGCTATATTTTATTGTGCTACCGGTGATGAACATCATCATCTTGTACTGAGCATGTAGAACAGTTAACGTAGTCAAGCGAGGGTAAAGATGTGCATTGTACGAACCGCCGGTTGAATAAAATACTCTCAAAAGATAATGATAACATCTCCGTGAACTATCTAATTGACTAGACAGCTCAGCAATATTCAAAATATGCATCGGATAAATACACCTCTAACATATAGAACCGACTCCATCTATGTATGTATGTACGTCACTCCACGCGCTTATCGATAAGATAAAATAAATCTTCTCCACCAAAACGCCCTCACCTCCAACACCAACACCCCAAAACACAACCAGAACCAGAACCTCCTCCACCCTCAATTCCTCTTCCGTCTCCCTCTATCCTCCCAGACAACCGAAAAAAGACAAGAAAAATGGTCAAACCACTAACTTTCAAAGGCGACAAGCCCAAGAAGGCCAAAAAGCGCAGTGCGCCCTACCCACCCAGCAAACCCACTTCCGCGACGAAACTCACGCAAGAGGAAACCGCCGAGCAAGAGTCTACAGCCGAAGACCAGAGCTGGGTGTCGGCGGACGCGCCCTCGGACATCGCGGGCCCCGTCATCATCGTTCTCCCCTCAGACCCTCCGACCTGCATCGCCAGCGACGCCAATGGGAAGGTCTTCGCGAGCGCGATCGAGAACCTGATCGAGGGTGATCCGGGCACGGCGGAGCCGCATGATGTTCGGCAGGTTTGGATTGCGACTAGGGTTGCCGGGACAGAGGGGATTAGCTTTAAGGGTCAGCATGGGAAGTATGTTTTTGCCTGTTAATCTTTTTTCCCCATTTGTCGTTTTCTTTTTTTTTTTTTTGTTTTGGGGACCTTTGGTGTGGTGAGGGGTTTGTTATTGTTGACGTCGTTGTTGTTGTGGTTGGTGGTGTTGTGGTGTTGTTTTACCCCCCATTTTGGAGGGGGAATGAAGGAAGGATGGCTAATGTCTGAGATTAGGTATTTGGGCTGCGACAATTATGGAATCCTGAGTGCCGCGTCATCGGCTATTTCGCACCAGGAGTCGTTCGTCGTTATTCCGTCTGAGGTGCCTGGGTCGTTTTGTCTGCAGACTGGTGGTGGTGATAAGGAGACGTTTGTCTCTGTTACGGAGGGGAAGTCGAGTAAGGCGGCGAGTGGGAGTGTGGTTGAGGTGCGGGGCGATGCGACGAGTCTTTCGTTTGAGACGACGATGAGGATTCGCATGCAGGCGCGGTTCAAGCCGCGGATCAAGGCGAGTAAGGAGACGAAGGCGAAGGAGAAGATTAGCCAGAAGGAGCTGGAGGAGATTGTCGGGAGGAGACTGGATGATGATGAGGTCAGGAGGCTGAAGAGGGCGAGGAAAGAAGGAAATTTTCATGAGGAGGTGCTGGATGTTAGGGTTAGGGGGAAGCACGATAAGTTTGCTTGAGTTGGTTTTCTTTATTCCCTTTTCTTTTTATGATGTTGTTTCTTTGCTAGGTTGGAGGATCACTTAGGGTTATACATTGTATCATGTCAACAGTTGAGCTTTTATTTGGGATGTCTATTGGGTTTGTTTGGTTGGCCTGTGCAAGCTGGCTTGTCTGTACTATTTATGTTTGCTACAATACATGGAGCTTTGCGTTCTTTCATGTACTATATAGGGCTGAGGTGGATAGTTCATATGTGAATGTGGTGATTGTGAACTAGCAATCTTCTCAGATGGAACTCAGTAATCACTTAGTCACCGTGATGGTCAGCCCCGGGTGATGGGCAAATAACGTCATGACAGGGCCAGTACCTTGGGGGTTGCCCTCAGGGTCCTCAACCCACTACTGTTAGTATTTAAGATGGAGAGCCTCGTACATCACATATAAACCTTCATTACTCATAAATCGGTGGTATCTATATATACAAGAATCTAGTCAAAAGTGATAGCCGCCTTGATGGCAGACTTGTTCCTCATCGACTCCAAGCACTGCTCCCACTCTTCAAGCTTGAACACCTTGTTCACGATGCCCTTGACCTTCACCTTGCCAGAGTCAAGGTAGTCAATGGCAGCGGGGAACTTGTAGGTCTCGGAGAAACTTCCAATGATAGTAATCTCGTCGCCGACTGCCCCGAGTGTTAGTCGTTACACACCCCATGAGCGGAAGGGATACTTACAGATCTTGCTGGGAGGCCAGGAAACGCGGGCCTCGTTGTTGTACACGCCGTACACGACGAGCTTACCGCCGCGGCGGACATAGTTGATGGAGTCCTCCAGGATCTTAACACTGCCGGTGGCTTCCACGACAATGTCAAATCCGTAAGGGTTCTCCTTCTTCAGCTTCTCGAACTGTGCGCTAGGATCCTGACGGGACAGAGCGACATATTCATCCCCAGCTTCGAGGGACTTGGCCAGGTCCAATTTCAGACCTTCAGGAGCGGCCACAACAACACGGCATCCACCGCACTGGCGGAGTAACTGAGCAAGAATCTATTTGGTGTTAGAGAGATGCGGAACAGTCTCTCGGATATAGGTCAACCTACAAGGCCGGTGGGACCAGCACCGAACAACAGAACGGAAGAGCCCATCTTCGGAGCGATCTTGTCCAAACCGTGAGCGGCGCACGAGGCGGGCTCGAGGAGGGTGGCATCGACGTCAGAGAGGTTCTTGATCTTGAATACTCTGCCAGCTACAGAGAGTCAGCCTTGGCATGGTAGTGGTCCCCAACATGTGCCACGACTTACCAGGATAGGCGCAGTACTCGGCAAAGCCACCGTTCATGGTGACACCATGGGCCTCGAAGTGTTCACAAAACAACTCATCTCCACGGCGGCAGTAGAAGCATTCACCGCAGAGCTCCGAGTTGTCGGCAACGACCCGCTCGCCGACTTCGAAGCCCTTGACCTTGGGGCCAACAGCTGCGACGACACCAACAGTTTCGTGACCTGACCACACATATCAGTATATGGTATACCCCCGACGGGACATGGCGATGTGGAGTCGTTGACATACCAGGAACCAAGGGGAACTAGCACAGGGTCAGCCAAGGCTCAATTGGTTAAATGTTAGACAGCTGGAATCATACCTTGGCAATGAATTGACCCTCGTGGATATGCAGGTCAGTACCACAAACACCGCAAGCCTTCACTTTGACCTATAGCAATCCGTCAGCAAACGGTTTGCACGACCAGCCATAGGACTACCAAAAGAAACCAGCACATACCAAGACATCATTGTCACGGAGCTGGGGAAGGGGAACGTCAACAACAGCATGTTTCTCCGGCTGCTCATATCTGATATGGGATGTTAGCACTGATCAATTGGCTTAGCAAGGGCAGTAGGGGTCAGTCGTTACCTGAGAGCCTTCATAGACTGAGGAAGAGACATGGTGGATGGTTATCGTTCTAAAGAGGTTCAGCGACTGTTGGTGGTGCGGCCTGAAGACGGCTGGTCGATTGATTGCCAAGGGAGGGGGTTCTTACAAGGATATTGGAAGAGGGAACAAGGCAAGTCAGGAAGGAAAGTAAGTATTCAGGATAAGGAGATGATGCGTGATTGATTGACTGAAGATGAGAATGAAGAATGGAAAAGCGAGAGAGCAAAGCGAGGGAGGAGGAGATATTTGAATGTATTGATGGAGCCGTGAGGGATGGAGGGGGAACTGAGGGGAATGAAGTCAGTTTCACCGGCGAGGTACGAGTGCAAACACCTGTTACTATCCAATCCCCTACTCCAGTACATTAGTATACCTTCGTTCTTACCAGGTTCACTGTCCTCCGGGTCCACTCGGCCAATCCCGGTGGGCATCTCAACGAGTGGGGTCCCATCAGTTGACTGTTTCTCAAACGTCAGAAAAGCCCTCCCTTCAGTCCTAACCATATCGATGCCTTATTTTTGTTTTTTTACCGCTTGCCTGGTCCAAAGTATAATACCGCACCTGACCGGGACGACACTCGATTCGATACGGTACGACTTGATCTGAATTCCACCGCTAACCATCCCGTGTGGTGGTTGTGTACAATACTACTACTAGTAGTACAAACCCATTGGAAAAAGGGTCAAAGCTACGCCCAAGGCCAGAAATGACTTCATAGAATCAGCCAGAACTCGGCCCCACCCCACTCGGTCCGTCGCAAACCAAAACGACTAAACCAATTTACCTACTGCACTAGACTCGCATCGTCGTCCCATGACTTCACTCCCCCACTTCGCGTCCCGCAATAACCTCATCAAACCCCCAAACAAGGCACACGAGGAGAAAAGCCAGCGAAAGGAGAAGAGAGAGAACCTCCAGGAACCACCCTATCGAAACGGTTTGGTTCCTGATGGACCATGGTAGAAGCTTTGTCGAGGCGGCGGACCCCCCCGGGCCACCACCATCACTGATATCATCCACGAAACCGTCCATGGTTCTAGACAAGGGACACGCGATGTAGGTCCAAATCGCAAATACACTCCACGCCTGCTCCACTTTTTTTTTTTTTTTTTTTTCCCACCACAACCTTAGCTGTTAGGCCGGTCCTTACTGTCACTTCCTATCAACAGAGGTTATTCCTCGTCGCCTTAACACTGAATTGGCGCATCAGGTGATACAGTGCTTTGAACATACAGCCTTAGTATGCATAATGGCGTTTCGAGCATGTTGCCTAGGTCGACTGAAAAGCATGGTAGAGCGGAAAGGACTTAGAGAAAGGCAACAATGAATCTAGCCACCACCGCTGGTCCTTACTAGTCAGTCCCGACTTATCACTGGCAACAAGACTGCGGCGAGATCCCTCAAGACAGTTATGATAGCATTGCCAACAGGACATGCAGAGCAGCTCAAGTTAACGCTTGTGGCATGGGTCCCATGACCACAGAGCCCCTAGTTCCCAGGTGTCCCTTAACTTTATACGAAATATATATCTACTAGTAGTTCGAGTAGCACCAATCAAAGCGGAGAATATGGCAACTGCAGCCAGTGCATTACTCTAGTAGATCGAATTAAAGCATCACTTCTCAGGCCTGGCCGGGTCTATGTTCCAAATCGTGCTAGTTGATGGTACCTATACTGTACAATAGAGGCTCCCGCAAAGAAAAAGCAAGTCAACGGATAGGAAAAACTATTAATTATATTTTAACCAAAGAGGATAAGCGCCCCTAGGATAGGAATATGGTCATCACAGCGTCGGGACCAGTCGTCTCAGGGATACCAGCCCAGTGACACGTTTATTTCAGTCCAAATCCCTCACTGTTGAGCACTGCTCCCCAGAGCCTCTGCTCTAATTGTTCCCGTGTAGTATACCGATACAGCCCTAACATATTGAAACATGTACGTGCAGTTGGGAATCGTGACGAATCGTCTCCGAGGCAGGCCACCCGGATTGTGAGGCTCGTTGCCCCCATGGCTGGAATACGGTCACTGCCTGTAATAAATGATAGTATCTTTCGCTGTGCCTGCGGCTGTGTGTGCTCGAAGAAATTCCAGAACCACTGCACAGCCGGCACCATCTCTGGCCGGGGGTCCGACCAGTTGTCATACGTGGCAACTGCCCGTAAGGACGCCACATCCAACGGTTCGTCTGAACCGCGTACTAGAAGTTCAATCTCCTCAGGGCGAAAGAGGGACAACGCATTACCGCCACAGACAGTGAAGAAGCCACGTTTAAAGGGCTCGAACTGTCTGGTAATGGCCGTGTCTAACAGGTAATGAACATACAAGTCCACAAACTCCCGTCGGTTCGCATTTGTAACAGGCCGCTTGTCGCCCCCAGCGCAGAGTGGCACCGCAACTACTTCACCGTAGCGATCCATTTGAGCGACAAAGTCATAGCAAAAGGTCTCTGCAACATCTCCTTCGAAATCCAGAAGGGCCCGGAGGCCCTTCGCAAGTGCAGGTCGATACTCGGCCAGGTCATCGAGGTTACACTTGTATGTCGACCGTGCTGTTGCAGGCTGCGGTCCAGTCGTCTGCGGGGCGGCAGCCAAAAGTTTTTTGAACGCGAAGGGGGGAAGGTTTATATCAAGTATTGTGGAGTTGTAGATGGCTAGTCCCAGTAGAACTCCGACCAAAAAGAACTGCTCCGATGATTCGAAGCAGTATGGATTGAAATAACAAAACTGCGAGTCTTCATCATAGATAAAGAGTCCTGCATACATGTTAGCACAAATATTTATCAAAGTCACGATTGTCTTACCATGATGAGGGTCAAAGATCTCCCGGACCAACAGCAAGAACCATTCCTTGCGGAGACCGCCTGCGTCCACACCCTCTTCACCAACGAATTCAATGCGGAGGCCCTTCTTGATCTCTTCTTGACTCGAACCCACAACTTCACTAACACTTCGTAGGCTATCATCGACCAAACAATCGCGTCGCACCCTCAACAAAAGATACTGGCTGATCGCTTTCCGACTCAATATACTATTGAAGAAGGCTTCGCGGGCTTTCACTTCCATTTGCCGTCGTGCATCGTGCTCAAGTATATGAATCTTGGCCCAGATGCTAAGGAAGAATGGATATTGACAGAAAGAGAACTTCGTGCTTTTAGACTCCCAGGCCTCAAAATCAGACACAAGGTCCGAGTAGTCTAGCAATGTATTATAGAACGCGCTGACTGGGACAATTTGCCCTCGTCGGTATCCTTGAGGTTTGGCCGCGGAACCTGCTTCCTGACCGAGTATTCCATCCGGCTTTCGAGAAATGGTGGCGTTGTTGGCAGTGAAAAGAAGTGACATTACCCTCGCTGCTGCCCGAAGCTGCCAGTCGTCACTATAGACCACAGGCTGATCACGTTTCTCGTTGGCCTGTTTGTTGGTGCTTCTCCCATTAATCGCCGCGTGCAATTCCGCTGGCGTATTGCCGGTGGCGCTGGAAAAACTTGGGACTAAATCGTCGTCATGCTGTGCCGACTCGCTGCGTTTCCGCCCATGTTGACGAGTCAAACGATATGTCACGAAGCTGCCGACGAGATCGACAAGCTTTTCAAATTGCCCAGCTGAAAACCGCGAAAACCAAGAAACAAGGTAGTGATGACAGTCATTGGGCAAATTCGCTAGCAAACCCAGTATCCGCTTGACGATGCCGTGGTGGCCGGGTCCCCCGCTCCGATGCCTGGAGGAAGTATTGATATCAGGAGGCACTGGTCTATGAGAGGTATCTTTCGTATTAGACGGCCGTCTGTTACTACGGGCTGCAGAAGCGGCTCCAGGATGGAGCGCAAAGTGTTGACTCGACGAGTATATCAATGGATTCACCAGGAGCATCAAGAGGAATCTATTATCCTCTGGTCTCTTCAAAGGCCGCCGGGGCCGCTTCAAGAGATTCTCGGTAGCTTTCATAAGTGTCCTGTGCAGGTGCAAGCGCGACTCCATGAATTCTCTTTCAATTAGGCTCATGTCAGCAGCATCCCACCTCTTATTCCTTACACAGTCATCTGCGTTGTCTACATCAAGAGGCTTCAGCCCTGACCACTGCTCGGCCCATGATGTTCCTGCTGTCATGATCAACTGGTACCAGTGTGCCAGTTCAGCCCAGTTGATACGGGGACTCCTGGAGCTGACAGCCCTTGCAGAGCTAGTCGGTTTTTCTTTCAGGTGATGGGAACTAGTTTGTTCGGTTTCGTTCATCCACCAGGAAGAGTTTTCGGCTAAATCTCCTAAGAGGAGAGTCTTTGCATCTGGCTCAAATACTGGATGTGCATGCGTAACACTATTGTCCGGCTTGTGTTTAGCAGGGCTGCACTCACTTGTAGACGGTGGCACATGTTGTGTCGTTGTGAAGGAGCTGTTGAGGCAATCGCAGCCTTTGAATGAACTTATGATGTACTCTTCCACCGCCCTAAATATATAAGGGCGACTTGGCTTATCCCTCGCTGCATAATCGCATGGTCGCAATGCTTCCCGCGGAGAACGGTCTCTTTTTGGCGTGTTCTGTACATCCCGATTCCTCATATGAGAGTCTCTTCCTTCGGTTGGCAGCGAAAACGGAGCAGCATTAGGTTTCAAGTAATTCGTTGTACCATTCATCACCTCCGGCCTGCCAGACCTACTGGACGCTGACGCACTACGACCCCGCGGGTCTACCAGCCGGGGTTCGGTGAGATATCCAGACGGTTTAGCCGGTGATCCTGATGAATTTTCGTCTTGTCCGTTGATATGCCTGTCCGCCTGGCTTCCCGCGGGGGACGCTCGTGGGCCCCGCCCATCCAAGATTTGTCGGAGGTAGCTCGAAATGCATTCATCAAGGATAGCTTTCGTTCGTTCGACGGACAATGGAATAGCTAAACCATGCAGACTAAAGTTAGACAACAAGCATTGAGGAATGTTTTGACGCTAGAGCGCACCTTTCCTGGGGATCGTCGGCAATGGCTTGTCGTCCTTCCCTGGATGAGCATGCCCGCTCGACTCGGTGGGCCCTCTGTGGGGTTCCAAATCATTGACGGTGAGGCATTCGGTACATCTAAAGACTTTGAGGTTCCGGGGCCATCGGACAGAGCAGTTGCATGTCATGCACTTCCCTGTCGTTAACTCCTCTCCCGGTGACAAACGTGGGGCGCTTTCCGAGGGCTACTGGAAAGGGGATCCGGTAAGTACGTGACCTCATCGTCATCATCGTCGGAATCTAGAAAGTCATGCTTAGATATCGACTTGTTTCGCCTTCTGCCGGAAAATGGTGACGGGAATGGATGGCTGATCGAACGAGAATGTCCTCGACGTTGAAAATTATGTGGCGGCGAGGTTGCCAGATTTGCGACCATGGAGGGCGGAAATTGAGCTTCATGGGGCAATGATGACGGGGCGCCCCTCTCCGTCGGCAAAGGAGGGAGGGGCGCATTTAAATCGACAACATTTGAATGTGAAGTTGAAGGGTGGGATGGATTACGGGTAGTCCGCGGCGGCATATGGGCGCATTTGTTTAATTCAGACTCCTGTTGTTGAGTTTATTTGAGCCCGGCAATGGAACGAAAGTTACCGGGTGGGTGGACAATATAAAAGGTACCAGGATCTTGTTTGTCACCCAGAGATGTGGCTCGAAAGATGCAGCAGGGGGGTCACGTTTTGCGATTGCAGGTCAAGCTCAGCAGTAGTAAGTAGTAGTAGTCGGATACTGCCGACGACTGGCAAGCTAACTTAGGCACTGGTGCACTACCTAACTTGGGCATGGGAGGAAAAGGTTAACAGTGTAGCCCACCAACCGAAGTGGAGATTCAATTACTGTAGTTCGTTGCTGAATTGATGAGTAGTAGACACAAATAAGGGCCGGAGGGGGGAAGAAGTACTAGTAGTATGTACCACAAGCGAAGGCAACCCCTGCAGATAAAAAGAAAAGGAAGAACCAGTTGGGCTAGAGAGGCAAGCAAGATTTGAAGTAGTAGAGACAGCACGACGGATTAGGGAGGTCGCATGGGGGTAGGTGAAACCGTGACTTACTCCGTAGTTGTAAGTTGCAATCCGGAGGGGACAGGCTGCCTTAGGCAGCCCACCTTCCCACACTGATTGTGCCCTATGAGTGGCCGGTCCACGAACGCCGGGGCAATTAGTTAGGCGCCAATGTGACGCTCATGCTACTATTTTGGGCTTCGTGAAAGGTCTCCATAACGGTAAAACCTGCACACCTTACTAGCCGTCAATCCCCGCTAGAGATTTCAATGCTAATGATGAATTAATTGGACCGGTGTCACTGTGCAATTAAACCTGTCTCGCAATTGAAACACCATATTCACTACCATCATCTACTTCTACTTATCCATCCGCCTGAGGGAATTTCGGAGATTCATCCTCCTTGGAGCAAATTTATCTCACAGCGTCTTCCTACTCATGCCATTGCAAAGTGATATGCCGGTGCCCGGAATCGGCCTCAGGCCCTCTTGCCAGCTTACATGACCTACGAGATGCTCCAAGCAGTTGAACAGAAATAGTCATACTTCGTTAGGGGAATATAAAAATTGAACCAGTGAAAAGATTTTTGCTAACATCCGATCCGAAAGATCTGTTGCATTATGCTCGCACCCATTTCAAGGATATAGTCATAGAAGCGAGTTTTGATCGAGATAAACACATCCTCAGAATGAGATTTTTTCCACGACACGCAACCCCAGCTATCCACCAAACTACGCTTAGCGGTATCTCCAGTAGCTCTGAGTGTTCTGGAGCTTCCAGGTGTGGCGGCGACCAGCCTTGGTGTTGTTGTAGCGGTGGCCCTTGTTGATACCACGGGACTTCTTGCCAGTGGCGGTAAGACCACGGGCCTCGCGGTGCTATTTGCAGAAAGCCATATCAGCAATGGTCTCCCAGAAATCACTGGGCAGAAATAACGAACCTTGTGGACAGCGTTACAGATCCAGTTGATGCGGGCATCACGACGGATGGCCTTGTGCTGGGGGTCGACAAGGATAACCTCGAAGTACTTGTAGGTAGAGTCCTGGTTGATCCAGTAGGAGTTCAGGACGCGCAAGTTGGCGCAACGGCGGCCAACACGCTCCTCAGCGGTAGCACGAAGAGCACGCTGGTACTTGAGCTGGTTGATACCCTGGTTGGTGGGCTTGCCTACAATCAAAAACTATTTAGCCCTTGTCCTTCCTAACGTCCTGCACAATACTGATGGAGATTTTTTGCATACCGTAGGTGGCACCCTTGGGGGCGGGCCTCTTACGGCCACCGCGTCTCACACGGATACGGTAGACAACATAGCCCTGCTTGGCCTTGTATCCGAGACGACGAGCCTTGTCGGGGCGAGAAGGACGGGAAGCACGGTGGATAGCGTTCAGCTGACGGAGCTATATTGATGCACTCTCAGCAAAGTTCAACGAGTGTATAGCAAGACACACGAAGGAATGTGCCACATCCATCCGCCGGCGAAAAAGATCGTATCGAGCCGCCCAGCAACACCCTCTGAAGAAAAAGGTATCCTATGGCATAGCACACGAGCATCCGGCGGGATGTTAAATGATCGATATTGAGGGGGGAATTCTCACCTCCCAGCAACGGACACGGAGAAGGAAGCGGACCACATCGGACTGCTTCTTCTTCTGGATTTCTTCCACGTACTTGAGGGCACCCATCTTGAAGGACACAAATAAGTCAGCGTCAGAGAATTGATGGCTCCCAATAATTTCAAAACCGTTGTTGAAATCGTCTCGAGAACTCAGGAAGAGTTGGGTATTATAAACATACCTTGTCGGCGGTGGCAGGTCGTCTGTTGTCGTCGAAGTCGCTGCTGAGGTGTTGAAGGAACGAGATCTCTTCAACGAGGTTGTGTGTGGGACGCTAGGAAATTAGGCGAGATCTTCCGCATCCACCAACCAGCGTCCATGCAAGCCCTGTATATGCCTGAGGTGTCAAAAAGCCGCCAAGATCTGAAAATAGTTAGAGTGAAAAAAGGAAAAAGAGATTTTCTCTTTCAGCCTTAAATATCGTTCTACCCTGTAACCCTGGCGCCTTAACCTTAAGGCAGCCAAGTTGTTCTTGTAACGAACCAGAAGTGGAGGACACATTCCAATAGATAGTAGATAATGATGACTTTTGAAAGATTCATTCTGTCAAATCATGCATTCACGATATATCCCCTTGTATTGTAGACACCTATTCTCCGTGCTCTCAATGAAGCTGACAAAACTTGAAATCATTTCAAATATGCATCGCCTCAACAACAACAACAACTACTACTACGAGATTCAAACAGAGCACAGATAGCAGATTGATACAGCATGTAAAGAAATGAGAAGAACATTTGCGAGTACAAACATGGAAATCGCGCCAACTCCTGAGAACATCTTGGAGATCAAATTCAAGCAACCGAGCAGTTAGGTCATGAAGCTGAAAGTCTATTAGGTATCGACACTAGCGACAGATCATTATCTCCGTTGATCCGTGACATGCATTTTCTAATTCTTTAACAGGCGAAAAAGGAAATGAAAAAAAGAACAAGAAGAACGCACATTACAGACGAAGGGGAATAAGGTAGACAAAGAGTGGCGGGGAATTAGGGGGAGAAGTGATACAAGGCAAGCATGAAGATTTAGTCGAATTCTTAGCTGAAGGAAGAATTCGTAGCGTGGAAAGAGGTGTGTGTGTGAAAGTACTGGAAGGAGAGGTATAACGAACAGCTGTCTTGCGCCATTTCGTTTCATCCACTAAGCCCCATGGAGGAATGAACGTATGTATCAGATGAGGCTTTGGTCGCAGTAATGTAACGCTTCGAAGAAGACTGAAAGGCTATAAAGGCATTATCAGAATAGACTGTTTCCATAATCGAACACTCTTCTTCTCAAAGCTCCTGAGACACACTATGCTAAAAGAAGGCATTGGGTTAGCCTCAAGAGCCTAGAGACAATCCCTGGAAGCGGCGCGTCCAATCTGCAGGAGACTGGTGAATGTGAGGACCAGCGGCTGTTCCAGGACTAGTCGCATAATCAACATAGCTAGACTCTAAGCCACCATACGCTGTTGGTGGGTAGGGAGCAAAAGGGTCACCGGTGGCGAGCGTACCCAACCCCGATTCTGGCTGGCGGAGACCCTGCCCGAAAGGCTGATAGGACTCTGTGTATGCGTTGCGCAACGCACCCATCTGATTGGCAATAGCTTCTCTATCAACCCCGTCGCGAGCATGGCCGTATGCCCTGCTTTCTGGGTGATGGGATCGGTCTGTCTGGGTCTCGGCATTGTAACCCAAAGGGTTTGGAGGCTGCAAGCCAGCAGTTGGGGGCGTGACAAACGAAGCCGGATTGATGGCTGACATCCAAATCCTAGTCTTGTAAATCTTGAATAAATCTGTCACAAGAGAGTTAAAGTTGATATATGAGTCCGCGAAGTAATAGAAAGTGAGTTTCTTCCAATCCCTATGAAAATTCGTTAGCATTAATTGTCATCCATGGTAATCTTCATACGATTCTTACATTTGGAATTCCGCATCAAGTATCTCCATGTTGAGCCGATGTTCTGCAACTTTCTGCTGGCAGACCCGCTTCGCCTTCGCCTCGTTACCTTCTTTATCACGCAATGTTAAAATCTCATGATTCTGGGCAAGTCTCTTAATCAATTTTGGTTTTATATCTGCGGATGACTCTTGCACTCCATGAGAACCATGAGGGCCCATGCCACCAATAGCGCTGCGGCTGGTCAAACCCCCCGAGGGACTGATAACGTTGGCCGCTCCACTCTGACCTTGTCTAGAAAACATCATCAACCATTTGTAATGCTCTTCAGCATACTGTTGTTTCAGTTCACGGGCCCTTTGCATGGAAACGTTTGCATGTTGGATGGTTCCAAGATCGGTGCCACGGTCGGCTTCGACGATGACTAAATCACCAGGTTTCACTTGAAGGCCTGTGTCTTCTTGGATATAGAAAACATCCGCACGATGGCACTTAAATGTTACAATATAAAGAAGCTGGTTCTGGTGTGAATGCGCGAGGCCTGCTTGGTGGCGGGCATAGACGGTCGGCATCGTATATGCTTGGTGGAGGGACGTTGGCACTGTGGAGGGAGCATCGGCCACACGAAGAGCTTGATCTCGAGCAAAGTAGGATTCTGCAAATCGACGAGCTCGTAAATACTCCGTTTCCATCTCATGCTCCTCGGGACGAGGAGCCATATGAACACGATAATACTCACGATTCTGGCCTTGCATATTTGAAAGAGAAGGTTCAGTGACACCAACATAGCCATCCTCCCGGTCTCCAATTCCAGGTCTCGAGGTTGCGGCGACTTGTGATTCACCAGAAATAGAACCGTGCCGAATAGGGATATCGGCAAAAGAGTGCCGTCGACTCTGAGGAATATCGGCCATACTGCCAAAGCCGAGGGAGGTCTGCCAGTGGGCCTTCCTGACATTATCCAGAGCTCGGTTTTCCAGTGAAGTGAGCGGTGGAAGTTGTTTTTCAAGGTTGGCCGAGTGCTCAGAAAACCTCCTCCTGGCACTGCCATGGATACTGCTGTAGCCAGGGATGTCGCCCACTTCGTCAAGATCTTCCACTGCCAAATCTGCCTCCTCTGGGACACTGCCGCGGATGCGGTGCAAGTTATGAGCACCTGCGCCAACCACGTATCCGCCGGTTGCGGAAGCGGACGACATAGCACGGTCTCGGAAGCTGCTGTCCATCTGGCCGGCAGCCTGACGCAGAAGAGCGTTCTCTCGAGACAGCTGTTCAATGGTGCGGGCTTGATCGCTCGCGTAATTGCTGAAGCTATGCTCTGAGCCGTTCGGGCTTCCCTCCTCGCCGTCGTCGTCTTCGCGAACCCGGCCGAGAGTAGCAGGATCATGACCCAACTCTCCAAGGAGACTAGGCCGAGATGAGCGATGTTGCAATGCCGAGAACTGACCACCATTCTAGGTCGAACGCCAGAGTAGGTCGCACCGGGCTTATTTGCCATTAGATTTAAGAATTCTGGGTCCAATTGGCCCACCGAGTACGACTGCGAACGATAGGTCTTAGGGGTTGGGTGGAGCGGAATTGAGAAAGGAATAGCAGATTCGCCAGATGTCGTGCGGGTTGTAGGGCTCAGCAACTCGTCATTGAAATAGTTGCTTGCGGTTGAAGGGTTAGACATAGTGGGCGATGGGACGATTTCAGCCAGACGAGGAGGTGGTTCTTTTCGAGATTCGGTGTTCCAGATTCCAGTGCCCCATGGGAATGAGCCACTCCCAACGTGATTCCAGTTGATTGAACTGCTCATTACGGGGCTCGTGCTAGGCCATCCGGACTGGTCAGTCGCGGGACTAGTTGGGTTTGAAGCGCCGGAGGACAAGGGGCCAGTGCTGGTCAAAGAAGCCTTTCGATGGATATTGGCAGGCACTTCATTGAGCCACGAAGTACGACGGGCAGGCTTTGGAATGGGGGCAATGGTAGATGTAGACGTAACCTGCGTGTGTTCCACGTCGTCATCGGACGATGCCAATGCCTCTGAATCAGGCGTCGAACGGCGAACACCTGGGTGAGTTTTCTCCAGTCTGACAGAAGCAGTAGCATTTGGCGTGGAAGAAGTGCTAGACTTGGTTATCTGCACCGGCTTATTGGCTTGCGCAGCCATAGTGTTGTAGAGGTTGATGAAAGTGTCCCTCTCTAGTTGTAGAGAAAAGCAAGTCTTGCTAGACTTCTAAGCTGTGAAAACACAGGAGACCTAAGCACAAGCCCGTTAGCCAGTCGCATGCATTATGCTGTGGCTAAGAACAAGAAGGACTGTCTTCCAAGTTCGTGACAGCGCGGTACATTTAACCAGGGGCTAGAAGGAACACAAGACACTTACCCAGGTATTGTAGGATCAAGAGCAGCAATTATATGCTGATAAGAGGGATGAAATGTTTCTGTTTAACGTTCAGATGTAGTCGAAACGGTTCACTGGTCGGTAGTCGAAGAATCAAAGTTCAGGAAGCGTGTGGTCAACTTCGGAAGATGAGAAACTGAGCAAGGTTAACAAACGATGTCGAAACAGTCTATGAGTTCTGAAAACAAGTCTTTCAAAGAAACAGCCAACGACAATCTGAGGTTTATAAACTCTCTTGTTGTGCTAAGGTCAGTCTAATTGGCATAGATATTGCAATGGGACGTGTGCAGTAGAGCGAACAAAAACACAAGAAAGTCTAGAGATGTCCATGGGAGATACGGATAACCGACAGAAGGGAGTGTAATATATCTGGATATTTCGAGGAAAAGGGAAACAAGTCGTGTCAGATGATCATGAAGGAGATGAAAGGACATATACACCGCCAACAACTGCGGGTGGCGATATTGGGAGCTGGACGGGGTGAATTGCCGGAGTATAGCATGTCAGATGACTGCCAACCCTATGGAAGGGAATCTCAACGTAACAGAGTCCTTGACCATCTCTCACAGACTATCAGTGAAACCGGTGAATCCCTGGTAGTATGACGATGTTCGCTTAGGGTCCCTGCTGTAGTTGATCCGTAGAGTTTTGAATGACATTGAATAACAGATAAAATAAGGATATGCATCCCAAAAAATGCGTTCCTGGAGTGCTCTTCTCGGCATTCAGAATGATTTGTGCATGATGCTTGAATGTAAGGTGGATGCTACAACATGACAAAGCTTCCCCATTGGGTCCGAGGCAAATCGCGGGGAAAGAGGAACAAAAAAGAGCAACATAAAACATGCAGTGGAATGCGGGCTGCGGGGGAGAAATTGCGGGTTGCTCGACACTCATCTTAACAGCCTTGAAACACCAAGAATAAGAAATTCTTTGCACATACCTTTCGCAAGTACAATTTCGGATCAAACCAGACCGATATAGGAAACGTAAGATATTGCCGATCGACTCGACAAGTTACTAACAAGCAGATGAAGTTCGTGATCGCGTCTGTCAAGATGGCCGGGGCCTGTGAGCGATTCTGCTCATTCCATCGTATGATGCTTCAACTTACCAGTCTAATAAAAAACGAAACTTTTCTTAATAGTCTATCCAATCCCAAATAACAAGGCAGTCTTTGAATCAAATGGGCATCTCCGTTGCAGTATAAAAGAAAGTAATGATTGCGCTGAAAGAAGCGACCAGGCTTCTACCGAAAATAGGCGTAGAGGGCGTCTTGTAAAAGGCCGTAGGCAAGGAGATTGGGCAAGAGGGGCCCCTATCCGAGAGAATAATCGTTCTGTTTCTTTCCTTTTTTTTTCTTTTTTCCCTTTTTTTCCTCTTTGTATCTTTGAGTAATATTTTTTGGTCTTTTTTAAAAAAGAAGAACGTTATTACCCAGCTCGATTCAAATGGATTCCGTTCACGGGGAATCTAGTTATACACTCGATGCCGGGTTGCGACAAGAGAGTTGGTCCAGAAAGCGCGGGTTCGCAGACGGTAGCGTGACCATGAAACGGATGACGTTGGGAATCAGTGTGGCTCCAGTAACTTTGGGTAGATCCCCTTAAGAGTAGCGCATCTTCGAGGCGGGCGCACGCGAGATCACTGGTGAGATAAAATGAACCGTCGCGATTCAATCAAGCAGAAATCAGATTGATTACGAAGGATGTTTTCTCTCTTTTTATAGGTCTTTTTGATTGTTGTTAGTTCGATGGTTGTTGGTAGTTGTGAAGAGAGGTTGGAGGCGTGAGGGCGAAAAGTTAAAAGCGGCGTAGCAGCTTCGTAAAGGTGCTTTGGAGAGAGCCGGAGTGTGGCTTCTGCAACGTTGCTGGATCGATCTGTCGCCCCAAAATGCGGGAGGTGGGCCAGGGGCACAAGGCGGGTGACGGTGCTCTCTAATGGTTGAGTATGGAAGAAAGTGAGGCAGAGAAGATCAAATTCCAAGGTAGTATCTGTTCCGAGAAGGAGGCGGCGGCGGAAAAGGAAAAAGAAGAAAGAATAAAAAAAAAGAGAGAGAGAAATCTCAAGGGAGGCAAAAAGCAAATGGGAAAAAAAGGAGGAGAAGTTGTACAATGATGGGAGAGGATGATGGATAGATAAAAAAAAAAAATGCAAGCTAAAACCGTCGCAGCAGCTAATGTACCTAAACCTCAGGCCACTGAGAGTGGACACGAAGGAGGAGAACAACGAGCCACGGGTCGGGGCACCGAGAGGAAGTGGCGCAAGTGGTCCGTCAAGCTACTACCATAATCGTGGTTAGGTTCAGGGAGTCAGTCCATTGAGCTGGTTGGTTTATTGGTCTGTGCCTCTGAACGACATTCATACATGGGTGTATGGACCAACCAATGTCGAATTGAGCCCGGGAGCGTTTGAATTACTTTGGGGTGGTGGGCGGGGTAAGATATTTTGACAGAAGAGCCTAGATAAACCTCGCATGGAGCCACAGGTCGAGTGCAGAAGGTATGAAGAAAGCGGCGCGTGGACGAATTGAAGGTACCCATGCGCCGGAGGGGAGGGAATAGTACAAGAAAGCATTCGTTGGTTCCGACCGTTCATCAGTTCCAGTGATGCCTTAGGTATGGATTCCATGTAGCAAAGATCATGTAATGGAATGAGTGGTGGCGGCAAGTGAGTGGTGGTCGTACTTAGTGTAGTATGACAGACAGGTAGACAGGTGCAAGGAACTGGTCGGCCATCGATGGGACGCTTTGAGTGGGTCGAGTGGAGGTCAAGTTGAAGATCCTCCGGGGTTTCGAAAGGAATCGGATGCCCCGAGCCACCGCTCAGTGTCCTTGGATTTCACTAGTCCTGTCGGTGAACAGACACAAGTGGATGCCTCTCCATTGTATACACAGTATGTACCTATCTATACCTTCAATTTGAGTAGAGGAAGAGAAGATCTCTGTCGCTACAATCTGTTCTATGAAAAGATATTGAGGAAGCAAGCTCTGAAAATGGTTTGTCAACGCATTCAATTGCATCGTCACCTTAACGCTTGATGCACAGCGCATGCGACTAAATACCTATACTAGCGTTTGACTACGGGGTCCCAGCCGGAACAAAGAAATATATAGTTCGGCGCTTCGAGAGAGAGCGAGAGAGAAGGAGGGAGGGAGTAAAGTGGGAATTTAATTGATTTGATTGATTAATTAATTCATTCATATGAAAGTCGTCGGCTGACATTAACACTGGGTGTGTGGTGGTCTTTTCCCAGTTGCCCCACCATTTGGTATGCGCTTCCATTTGGAGGTTTTGTAGAGGCCACCCGGAAGCAGGGAGCTATTCTTTTGTGCTCCATATATTTGTACAATAGAAAAGGAAGAGAAACAAAGGAGAAAGGCCGAAATTGAATCACTCATCACCATATAGTTATTATCAAGTCAGCTTTCTTGTCTTTTCCAAATTTTTTTTTTTTTTTTTTTGCTTATTTTTTACTTTTCTTCTTCCATCGTTATTCCCGGAGGAAAAAAGGGTCACGGGTGTCAGACCACTTCTTGTATCATAACGTCATACTGTCGTTACGTTACACTCCACCATACCCGATAATCTTTGGGTCAAAACAGCAAAAGCATCCAGCAAGATTGTGCGAAGCAAACATCTCAGGTCCCAGGTACATGATTAACCCTCCCATACTTCCATCCATTTGTCAAAGGACGTCGAACATCATCTCCCCTCTTTTGGGAATCTCTTTTGGACCAACCATGTGCCGCACTAAAAAGAAGCGCATCCGAATTGCGGGGGAAGAAGGACGCAATCAAATCATTGTCATGAAAATGATGACCTCCTCACCGGTAAAGTTAGGGTCGAAGGAATGCCGTCCAATTACGAGACGCAAGTTCCCATGTCATGCAGGATCTTCGGCCGTCCAAATTGCGGAGAGAGCTTTCCCGCATTGGTTCTCTCAACCCACGAGCCGCCTTTGCATTTGCCTAGGCTCTTTCTGCCTTTCCAGCCATATTATAGTCCCCACCGTCAGAGGAGAGAGATCTCCATTACTCACCGATATCCCCAAGAAGTAAGTTCATTTTACAGTGACTGTTCGTTTAGGCCCCTGACTACCCCTTTCGTTGGTCCAAGAAGGGGGATTGCAACATAACAGACAGTTCAAGAGGAGCTTCTGGTCCCACCCATGGTTGAGAGCTGCTGGACCCTTTTTTCGGTCTCTGGGTCAATGATGGTTAATGACACCAAAAATCCGATGGTAACCCACGGATTGCTGGAGGTGCATTCCAGTCTTCATCTCCCACTCGTTATGGAATATTTCAACTGAGACCGGATTCGTGACGTGGGGATGTTGCACGATTACTCTCATTGATCATCATCTGATACCGCATTGACAGGATTTCTTTGATCAAGGTTTCCTTTTTTCCTTTCTTTTTCTTTCCCTCTCTATTTTTCATATTCGGATCCTTCTTTTTATCTAGTTTCTCTCAAGGCTTATATTCTCCGAGCTTCGGTTTAATGCCTTTTTGACAGGTGGTCTCTGCCGGTACATCAGTGTACACACATATATATGCAGTACTCCGTACAGAAGACGGAAAGAATCGACACCATACGATACATTCCGACTAACACCTCAGCCACACACACAAGCAAGAAACCAATTATTCCATTCCATCCTCCACCACCCACCGGCAATGTCTGAATGTCGATCTGATCTCTCACAATTCTCAACCACATACAGGAAGACTATGATACCGACCGCATCTAGAACCCCGCAGCCCCTTCCAGGCAGATCCGACCATGTCTAACTTTCATATAAACCTCCAGGTCTCGCAAGTCAGGTGCTTCCCATCCCGTATAGTAAAACCTGAGGGCCAGACCCACTAGTAGTAGTAACTTGAGGATGTATGTCCCGTAACCCAAGACATCGACTAAATTAACCCTACGCTTGAGCGTCCCCCCGCCTCAGAAAGAAAGTCCATTGCATCTTTACTCCGTAATAGGCCTCTCTTCTCCAATTTGGAACTCCACCTTCCGCGCTTCCACCCGACGCTAGTATCTTTGTTTTACAATTCCCCCTGCGGTATTGGTTCTGCTTGATTGGGGTATTTCGTTGCGACATGTGCCTTTCGTTTTTCGTTTTGTGTGTTCGGCATTCGGCTCCCCATTCCCGACGCCCAATTGATCCGCCATTTTGTGGCGAGGGGCTGGGATGGGGTATGATTGTGGCGAATTTGGGACCTTTCCAACTTAGGAGGGTGCCTAGATTGCGAGAGGCGATGTGTTCATCTATTGTGCTTGATTGATGTCTTACTGGATTTGTTAACTAGTCCTGCTCAGTGTCGTTATAGAGAGGCGTACGTTTTTGTAGTTTATTTGATAGTATTGTACAAGGTCCCATTGCAGCATTGCAGAGACGTAAACACGAGCATTTCATACGCAAAGCTCTTCTATCCACTCATTAAAACATTGATATGCAACCAATGGTATATAAACGAAACCAATGAACAAAGACATGGGCAGAATACAATGCTTTTATGGGGCTGAGTCCAGAGTACCCTTGCCTCCTGTCGAAGCGGTGGCAGCGGCACCCTTCTGCTGGCGCAGCTTCTCTTCAAACTTAGCGAATTCGTGCATCGAGATCTCCTCTTCTTCATCCATCACTTGCTCAACCCCTTGCACTTCTTCGATCTGTCCAGCCATGCACCATTAGCCACCTACCCCAGCAAGCAACCCCGAAGGGAAAAATAAAAAGGCGGGAAACTTACGTAGTGCATAAGCATAGACTCAATGCCATTCTTCAGAGTGACAGTGCTTGAATCGCAGGTCCGGCAAGCACCGCGCAACTTCAGCATCACAATACCGTTCTCAAAACCGCGGAGCTCAATGTCGCCGCCGTCTTCCTGGATTGCCGGCCGGATTCTTGTCTCCAGGAGCTCCTTGATCATGCTGACAACTTCGTCATCCTCTTCATTGTAGCTGAGCGATTCCTGTTCGCCGCCCTCCTGTGCGCTCTCTCCAGACTTGGCGACCGTGTTGACGATCGGCTCGCCGGAGGTCACAGCCTGCGTAATCAAGCTGAAAATTTCGGGTTTGATATGGGCCCAGTTTGCATCGCTTGCCTTAGTCACAGTGATGAACTCGGGCCCAAAGAAGATGGAGGTTACACCGTCAACATTGAACAGGTTCGCAGCCAAGGGGGAAGGGTGAGGAGGAGCGAGGGTAGAGCGAGGAGACAGGTACTCGAGGAACGATGTCGGGAAATTCTCTGGGAGGACACGGTGGTTAGGGATGAATTTCAGAGCCTAGATCCAGGTCATCCAAGTCTCAGCGTCAGTATGAGTCCAATATAAATGGTGAATAGTGATTAACCTACGTCGGGATTCGGTGTGTTCTCGGTTTGGATGAAAATTGAGCGCTTGCTGACTGGAGATGGTCCATTCACACGGGTCACTGCAGACTGTTGGTGAGGCCGCAAAGTCGGCCGATGACGAGCCTCCGAGGCAGTAATAGCGGGCAACCGAGCCGAACGGTGGATAGTTCTGTAAGATGCAAAAACATTGGGGAGGACGGTGCACGAGGAAGACTCGGCCACGCTCAAGCGCTGTGCCGTGACTCTGGAGTTCAGAATAGTTCGCCTAAGCATAGTACCGGATACTGAGCTGACAGACATATTGTAAATTTAGCAACCTGGTACGCTGGGGTATCTGGTTTGTCTGTTTGGAAGTGTTTCTGGATAGTTGATAGAAAGTACATTTCTTCCGACCGCCCGGCACTCTGACGCAATAAAGTTTCACGTGACCCCGGGAAAGGGACTTGCTGATAAATCGGTAATTGACTTGAGCCAATCACATGGTGGCAGTTTGACATTTACATCCCAGCCCAATGCCAAAGTTGCATTGCATTCCGCGGAAAGCGAGACATCAGAGCACCAAGTATGCTTTGAGCATTCCTAGGAACAGTACGGAGTAGCTTTCTCATTCTTTCAGAGAACCTCTGTTCTTTCGATGATATGTATATACAGTACATGTTTCACTTTTTACAAGTAACTCAACATGTATTGATTGCATACCCACACCATATGAACGTCTTATATATGTAAACTCCAGTGTCATAACTCCTGATATGCGGTGGTGACTGTTCGTTCTTGATAACGTACCAGCCAACCACGACGAAAAGGTGGACTTTCCTAATCGAGTGATATTCTCGGAGTATAGCACTAAAGGGCTTAAACCTAAAAACAGCATATCCTCGTTTGTTATGTGAGATGGATGACACGTCCAGAGCTTCCCCGGACAAAAGTCTCTTGTCCGAAGCTTGGGTTCGGTGAGCATCAATACTGGCACATGGAAGCTGGTTTCTGGAGGAAGCTTAGCAAGGCTTCTGTGCTTGCGCGGTCGGCTTTATTCTAGTCGTACCCGGCGTGGCCCGACGTCTTGCTATCTTGTTTGCATAGGTGTTGAAATGCTCTAATCGCCAAAATCGCTCTCACTCGGGCGATACTGATGTGGGAGACAAGCGTTTCCTCTGCGAAGAACGGTATTTGGGCCAAACCATGTCCTTCAGAAAATATCCGATACCAAGACCTAGTTGAGGTAGAAGCACAAACACTCCCTGGCACCACCGGTATTTTTCGGCAATTTCATGTACACTATAGAACTGGGCGCTCTGACTTAAGGGAGCAAGCAGTAGCTGTGCGCCCAAAGTTTTCAAATCCCGCTGTAAACAATAGATAACAGAGCGACAGACCTGGTCAGCATAGTGTTCGGCAAGGGCAGTGAAATCGGTTGTTATTTCAGAATTCGGCGTGACTCTGGATTTTGCGTCCTCGCCAGAAGTTGAGTAGCAGTTAGCCAGAGAGACACGGTCTGCTGGTTCAAGAACCTCGAGTAACTGGTCGATTAGAGGATAGAGCAATACTAATGCGGTCCAATATATTAGATGAGCCTCTGCACACGTGAGAGACGGGAACTGAAAGGGCTTAGGCAATACATCAGTGAAGAGAGAGCTTCTAAAATCCTTTCGACAAGTCACATTAGCAGGTACTAATGCTGAAGGTTTTCCGAGTTCCTTCTGTGTCATGCAACAGATTCGATGAAGTTTCTCCTCCAGAGAGAAACAAGAGAGTAACAGTTCTCGCCCAGTGTTTTGAATCTGGTCGTGGCCTTCAGCTCCCTCCTGGAGAAAGCTGTCGACTCGTTCCATCAAAGCGGAACAGTCCGCCAACCGATCAATAAGCTCATCGATGGGCTCAGGGCTATCTGTGTCTTGCAACGAGCTATCCTGCCCGGTCGAAGGGTTGTACCAATCGGGCGCTTTGCGTTTTCCAATCGCATCGCACAACTGGTTTGCTAAGCATTAGCAGGTAGAAGCGGTCGACTTCTCGAAAATCAGAACACTAACAGTGACGAACTTGAGTTGACGACGAAAGAGCCTGGATGCAACGGTTTCATCATCTTGTCCAGAACACTGGTTGATGACCGCACTACTGCCTTGAACATGGGCAATCCACGCCCCAAACCCAGGCGGGGAGCAATTTATTAACTACTTCGTTGTCAGCCCGTACGATAACAGCGAGGCCGCGTGCAAGTATATCTGTGATACATACTTCGTATATCTGGAAGATTATCGTGGTATACAAGACATCTTTCCCGAGAGCTCTCCTCGAGCTTATCTTACCATTTAGCATCCGAATAGCATTCCCGTAGATTTCAGTGCTGTTCTGCAGTAAACGTCTATCTTGATTTTGTTTTGCTAAAAATGCCGTGGAGAGCGCAACAACCGCTTTGTCTAGGAGCAAGCTGCTTCCAGAGAGGTCTGGAAGGGTTTGAAGAATATTCTTGCCCGTTCTGTCGCAAATATATTGCGACTGGGGCAGGTATCTGTCTATGAAAGACTGGAACAACTGAGATCGGACCTCCACATTTGTATTCAGCTGAGGGATTCCGGGTCCCACCTGGTCTACTTGGTGAGTCCTAGGACCGTTCAGGAGAGCTTTTGGACGCCGGGTGAACTTTTGCGCACCATCCTCCATTGCATTGGAGGATTTGTGTATGAAAACCCTTGACCGCCCATAACCGGCGCAGAAATGGCCGTTCTTAACGCACCGGAGGCATTCTGGTTTGGCTTCATCGCACTAAACATGCGTTATATTCCAATGGCCCGGAGTCCGCTGGTTTTTTGCGTAGGAAAGAGTTTGCGTTCAGCCTTACCTTAATCTTTCGGCGCCGGCATGTATTGCATCCGGTGGACTTAAACGGTATGCCGCCCATTTTCTTGACCCGATGTCATCTCAGTTGCCGCGCGCCGCAGAGTGAAAGAGGGGAGGTAGATTAGAATCTGTCTTAGATTGGCTGTGTATAAGCCGAGCATGCAAACAATGTCTCTGATCAAGATACTACATCATTCTACCTAGGAGGACGAACCGTGGAAGGTGGCCGTGGATCACGTGTGACCATTAAGCCGCTGATCTTATCCCCCACTCTCTGGTTTTATCTAGAGCCCCGAATGTAGTCATAGTGAGAGATCAGTGGCCGATAATGTCTGAAAACCATGGTGTGGTTTTTCCCATATGGAGGCTTATTGATGCTAGGGGTCCTACTATACTATCCAGTGTCATAAGGTGTGGAAACTAAAAGTGTAGTTTCAACGGCCCATCTTCAATGACTCTTTGGGTGCTGTGAATCAATTCAGCGACGGTCCATACATCGATGCTTAATACAGAGCGCAGCAGCTTTCGGGGTGTTGAAGCTATCAGGCAATGAAGTTGGTAATTTTTCGTATAAAGGAGCTTTCCTGATCTTCGTACCAGTTCACCTCGGCACGGACTCCTAGCCAGGTAAACTATTTTGATGGGTGGTAGAGACGGAATATAGTAAAATAAATAAGCGACAATGAACTGGTGATACCTTTGATCAATGTTGAACCATCTGTGTCGGCTTGCCCGTCTGGCAGTAATTGTATACGTCATCGCGAAGTTGAGCGCCCTGCTCAACTTTAAGGTGTGTATCAGTCTATTGCTGACCTTGCTGGTTTCGTGGAACAAGCCGACTAGGTTATCCAATGTTAGGTGTGCTTGAAGTACCCCCATAGACTCTAATTTACCATAATCTAACTGATCTAGTGTTTAATATCGGCTATCAATCAATATGAAGGCTGTTGATTTATCTGAAGCATTTAGGATGGAAAATCTTACTAATATGGTAACTTGCTGTTGCAGAAATACTAGTCCTTTCCAGGCATGGTCCTATGCTGACTCATCCCTTTTCAGAGCTCTTTTGTTCTCGATTGCCATTCTCGACCGCTTCCAGCCCATCCCAGGTGTTTAAGATCGACAAGTCTGAACACTAAAGGCTTATTTTAATAAGCCCATTGTGGTTGGATGCTCAACCATGCTTGAGGGAGTCTGATTGAATGCTGCGCAGCTGCGAAAGCTCTTAAAGCTGCCCATAATAAGAAAATGCCTAATACATGCGAGGTTTGCGCCTCGGAACTCTCTAAATACCGATGTCCCACATGTGGGCTTATGAGGTAAGTTTCATGGTTTCATCAAGAAAGAAGAGAAAGAAAAAAAAACTGTGAAATAATTCACAGATACAAATATGGCCCCTAAGAAAATCAAAACCACTAATGCGCATCCCCCAGTTGCTCGCTCGCCTGCACCCAATCCCACAAGATCTACTGTGCGCCCAAAGCACCATCGCCAAAGACATCTGAAGAAGCGAATGATACCCAAGATCAGCCAGAAGAAGTCAATGGGCATACTAATGAAGATACACATAAGTCACAAAACGATACCGATCCCAGTGTTTTAGGGTCTTCACCCCAGCTTAAGGAACTGTTCGATCGTTATCCCGTACTACGTGACCAGTTACGAGATATCTATAAGGCTACTCTTGAGGAGGAATGGATTGAGACTCAAACTCATGGGGGCCGAAGACCCTTCGGACGGGGAAGGGGAGCCCCTCGCAGCCGAGGATCTTGGACTCGCGAGAAGGGCTTCAAAAGAGGTTTGGGGAAAGTCAGAAAACTAAGGGAGATGTGTGAAGAAGGCTCAGAGATCGGGAAAAGTGCCGAAGGCTACATGCGATTCGTAGCCTTGGTCAATGGAGAGCGTTTCCCTCAGGAATCTGCATGACGTGTATTACTTTGTTCTTTCCCCTTTTCTCTGTCCTGCGAAACATGTCGCGTGCATGTATCGGGAGTTTTTGGGCCATGTGTTTGTCTGACATCCTCAGCCTCGATTAACTGTGCCGAGGCTGAATATGCTGGGGGAAAAACCAGTCAATAAACCGACCACCCTTCACCTCGGAACCTTCCTCAGCAGGGGACAGGGTATATTCGTGATAACCTTGGCTGATGTATAGTACACCTCAGCGATCCATGAAGAAGAAACCAAACGATCAGTATTCAAGTAAAAGGTTAAGGGTTTGGGGATACGCATATTAACTGATCCGACTGTCAAATCCGCGTCCGTTCCACTGCTAGGCGATCAGACGAAAATTGTTGTCTTAGACATATAAGCTTAAAACACTACCTACCACTTTAGAAAGGCTGGAATAAACAAAATGACTATGGCCTGCATCGCCATAGCGGAGGGACGTACTCCGTTCGAGGACTTCTTGTCGACACTCGGGCCATCTTCGGCATAAACCAACGCACGATATTCCCCATAAAAATTTAAATGACCTTCGTTTGACTGGCTGTCTGACAGAGACTAAGGCAGTTTTAATTGACAGATCCGCTTGAGGCTGGGCCACACAAAGCCGCTGGTGTTGACGCGAACTAGGTTGACGCCGTGTAGCTGAACCAAAGTTTTGTGATATGTGTGATAGATAGGTAAATACGGAGTACACTTACTTCCTTTAGTGCTTGGAGGTTGGTGATAGGCGAAAATATCCGCGCGGCCTACTCCGTATGGAGCTTCGGAATGTCATTGAATAAGTGCCTGAGTACTAATGAATCAGCAAGTACCGAATCAATTGAATCCTCTACCTTCATTGATCCAACCTTGGAAAGGCACACAGACCCTCTGGAGAACATGAGTTGATGTGAGTCTAGGATTGGAATCGAGCAGTCCGTTCATTATTGGTCTGGATCCAAGCCCCCCGTCCACTCGTGGGGAAGGTCGTGCAACGCGGCCTTCATTTGACGAAGTGAAACCGTCCCGAACTAACTATGGTCTTAGCGTATCCCTGACCACAACGATACACCCATCATAGGACCCCCAATGGTAAGCGAGTCCTTAAGGGGAAAGAATAGGACTTGAGAGATGGGTTATTGGGCGGGTCTAGTTGCCTCGTGAGCATCCCATGGAGAAACAAGGCCGTAGTTGAAAAGAGGTTGTTAATAGGTGATGGTTGTAGACTCGTAGTAGGTAGGGTTCGGTACGGACTTTCCTATGGAGAACATGTGTCTTAATATGTATGCCTAGGCATAGTATACTCCTGTACCTACTACCTATATTAGGCTATTAGCAACAACACCTAGGTTGTTCATAACTAGTTATCTGTATTGCTTACTATGTGGTATGGCATGTGTCTACTAGTATCAGGGTTGTAAAGTCCATGGGAATGATCACCTCCTAAGGGGGGATTTTGCAGCAATGAGATGTCTGATTCCCATTCTCCCATCCTGATTCGGAGAGACCATAAAGCTACCGTCTCATTGTTTGTATCACACATGGCCATTAATGTCTCCCGGTGGCCTCCGAGGCCCTTTTTGTATTCGAGTCATTTATGGAGTAGTCACTTGAGTTTTCTCATTTTTTGTATTTTGTTTGTGTTTTATTTTAACTGGCCTTTTCCTCATTAAGTTTCAAGCTGACTATAGTTTTTACTATTTATTTTTTATTTTGCTCTTCCCATACATAGAAAAAAAAAACCAGGTTAAAAACCATGTTCCTCCCTATAAGACCAACTTGTTGAAGGGTCCCGTCGGCTTCCCACGCGGTGTGAAGATCCCAACCCGGACGGGCGCACAACGCCTTTGAAGTACGCAGAAGTTAGACTAGTCTATCTTTTCCTGTACAAGGTATTTCCCTGGCAGGTCGACATCGATGGGTCCTCTTTGTTTTTCTCTCTTCATCTGATTGATTCGCCGACAGGGCACTCGTGCGTACGTGCGTGTGTTTCTAATTTTAATAACTGTCCAGCTTTCTTCCGACCAGCTTCTCCATCGTTTTCTGGGGCTCTGTCGGGCCAGTGACATCGCTCGGTCTGTTGCGCGCAAACTCGCCGTCGGCTGATCTTACGACCACTGAAGCTCCTCCCCAGCATAAAAAGTATTTGTTCTCAACGTCACTAGCATTCTCTTGTGAGATTCTGTCCAACTCTGACCTGTGGATACTGGATTTCTCAGTACTAATTTTGGATTTGTTTGCGTCTAGTTCCCCCTCCGGTGTTCGGCTTGAGAAGCATCACAGCATAAAAACCAAAAAAAAGGGAGAGAGAGAGAGGAGAGGAAAGCATAAGGAATTGACACCCGTGTTAGAGGAAATCAAAGGATCAAACTGCCGACCGTCCTTGGGATCGCTTTAAACAATACCGTCGATTGCAAATACTCCGATAACTTTCAGTCCGGGTTGCGAGCGACAATGGATGAGCTGCCGTGCCTGCTTCACTTACTCACGTAGCAGCAGTTGGACCTTGCGCTGTCGGACCTTGTTTGCTGTATCGGATATTCCCTAACGCCGCCGCGCTGGGTTCGCGTGAGCATCACCCATTATGACCTCCCAGACACCGCGACGAGAGCGGTCATCTAGCGACAAAGCCCAAGCCGTGTTCATTCCGCAACGGCCCGGTCTTCCAGGTCGAACAATTTCCGCCCCTGCTGGTGGTCTGCACAAACTTGATTCTTCCAAAGTGGCGATAGAGACCGGGAGTAAGATTGAGCCACCTGTTATAGAAGAAGAGGACAACATGGGATCCTCCGGAAAGAATGGAGTTCCACCTACCCGTGCTGGTGATGAGGTACAGCCAAAACCATCTGTGTTGCAAGATCCGGGAAAGCGCATCGTTTCTAACCATGATGCACTGTGCAGATCTCGTCGAAGCCAAGCTTTCCCCTCGTTACCATTGCCGTCGTTGGCCAAGATAAAGTAGGTAAAACAACGTTTATTCAGAGTGCCTTGGATATGAAACAGCCCCTTTCGTCACGAGCGACTACGAAGAAGATGTCGTTGGACGGGACTGTGTATCTCGTCCGCCTATTGGAGATGAATACGAAGGAGATATCAATCGGGAATGATGGCCTCCTGGAATGGCCACGAGTTGGAAACGATTCCCCGCCAGTAGACGGCGCTCTTGTTGTCCATGATGTGACACGGTCTGTAGGTCTCCCTGAACTTACAAGGTTGTTGGGTATGTGGCTTTTCTTTACTATCCCTAATAATGTTTGCAAGTTTATTGTGCCTCGCCGGCGCATATACTGATTTCCTGTATAGACACCTTGGCAGCATTTGCATTTCCGTCTGTATTGGTCGCCAGCAAATGCGACATTCAAGCACCAGATGGACCGCTCGAGCCTGCGTTGAAGAACTATCAGATTCACAAGACATCTCCGGAGTCGCCGCGGTCGCAAAAGATGTGCATTTCAATGGTTCTGCGTGAAGTTATCAACAGTAAATACGGTAAGCCTGCCAACAACTTCACCCCATCAATACTGTAGTACCCTTTGTTTTATGCACCCCTCATAGAGGGAATGAGAACGGGAAGAAACTTCTGGACTGTACCGTTGTTTTCTAAATTCCTATCTCATATTTCTTGGCCAAACCCCCTTTGAGCGGTCCGCCACGTTCTCGCTAGTTCCGTGGCGCGGCCTGAGACTAGCGTTCGCGTCCTCCCTAGTCGGCCGCCGATCTTCAGGATGTCGGCGTCGCGGCGTGCAATCCGCCTTTCGCTGCCTACTACTTGCTGGTTCAGAGCAGACTGGATACTAACAATCTTTTAGACACCACTGGTTACTCGTACTCATTTAAAAAACCCTCCACACAGGACTGGCATCACAGCCGTGCCAACTCTGAAAACCCCACGGCTGCATTAACTGGAGCCGCGGGCGGCCCTATCACTAGTACCTTTGAACCGGGAGTCGATGGGTACGGTGAAGACCGTCAGTCCACCGACCCCTCGAATTCTTCAAACCTGGCCTCCAATGCACAAGGCTTACGATTCTCCCGGATCAATTCGTGTCCGGTGCGACCACATACACCTCCTTCAGGGACTCGATTGAATCCACACAAAACATCAACGGCGGAGTCACCGGCGAAGGATGACGGTCGGCAGCAGCGGCTTCATACAGCCTGGCGGAATAGTGGTGGCTCAGATGCCTTCAACAGCTTTCTAGATATGGACAACGGAATGGAAGGGCCAGCTAGCGCTCCCTCGAGTCCGGAAAGCAAAGAAAAGGCGTTGAGCGAAGGATCTTCCAATGGATCTTCGAATGATGCCGGATTCACGTTCGATGAACTCGTTGATCGCCTTGTTGCACAACCAATGTCGAAGCAGGACTCCAAATTCGCGTCTATATTCCTCTGCCTTTACCGCAAGTTTGCCGCACCGTCCACTTTGTTGAATGCACTTATCAACCGATTTGAACGGAACGAGAAGAATTTTACCGATCAACTGACTCGCATTGCGGATCAGCTGAGGTTACTTAATATTATGTCCACCTGGGTATCGGAGTATCCAGGCGACCTAGCCTACCCTAAGACCCGCAAGCGGATTACGGATTTTGTCTCTACTCTGGAAAAGAGTCACTTTTACATGTTTGCTGCAAAGGAGGTTGGGTCTTATCTTGAGAATAATGCAGATGATGATGATGTAGGTTGGCCATTCAGAGATGGCGACGTTGATGAATTTGACGGGCACGAGACTTTCCTCAATAACTCCGGTCGGAGCTCACCATCCTTGTTCCTTGGCGGATCGACGTTCGACGAAGGCGAGGAGAATGAAGAGGAAGAAGACCCTATATACAACATGAGTGCGTTAGATCTTAGTGAAGGCGCGTCAGATCCATCTTCGAAGCTTTCGAACTCGGCCACCTTCGAGAAACCTGGTACCGTGTCGAGCCAGTCGTTCACATTTTTGAGCATGGAGGCTGCACAGAAGGAATCTCAAAATCTGGAACTTACCCCTCGACTATCATTGTCAAAGATGCAATGGCGACAATTCATCGAAATACCTGATGAAGACTTCGCGCGCGAATTAACCCGGATTGACTGGATCATGTTCAACTCTTTCCGGCCACGGGATCTTGTGCGGCATGTCAGCATCTCTGGGCCGGACAAAGACAAGATAAAGAGTTTAAAGCATGTCAATCGGATGATCAAACAGTTCAATCATCTAGCATTTTTCGTTGCTAGTGTTATCCTCTTCCGGGACAAGCCTAAGCACCGAGCGAAAGCATTAGAAAAGTTCATGAATGTTGCACAAGTGAGTTTCTCTATCACTCACATTTTCTTCTTGCACTGACCCTCTACCAGAAACTGCGTCGATTAAATAACTATAATTCTCTCGGTGCAGTAATCGCCGGAATCAACGGAACACCGGTGCATCGACTGTCGCAAACGCGCGATTCCGTGCCTATTCAAACGCAAAAAGATTTTATGAGGCTGGTCATCCTCATGGGGACACAAAAGAGCCACTTTGCATATCGCCTAGCATGGGACAATACCTTCTCAGAAAGGATCCCATTCCTACCACTGCATCGGCGAGATCTGGTCTCCGCTGAAGAGGGGAACCGAACATTTGTAGGAGATAACAAGTCTAGGATCAACTGGCGGAAATTTGAGGTGATGGGGGAGGTTGTATTGGGTATTCAGCGCAGCCAGAAGACGCCTTATCCTCATCTACAGAGGTATGAGGACGCAGCCAGACTGGTACTCGACATCAAACTATCGGGTGACGATGAGGTTAGCTTTCCCACCCCCCCTCCCCTAACGTTTTATTTCTACGATTTGCTAACTTGCCTAGGATTTATATGCACGCAGTTCCCAGATCGAGCCCTCCGCTGGTGGCGACACGGGACGCAAAAAGTTCGGCTGGTTACGGTCGTAAAAGGGCATGATGGAAGATTCCTCTTTTCTCAAATTTTTTTGGTCATCTATCTATGTCCATGAGGGTAACGATTACATGACCCAGTCATACATTTGTACTGACGAGATGCCTGATGAATGATGACGATCGTCTGGTCTATGATGTACATACATATCGATATGTCTAAATATATTATTCCTGTTACATCTAACATAGCTCTATCTCATACACATAAATTATCCCGATAGCATCACGTGACCCCATCCAGATAGCAGACATCACTGAACGATCCACCACAACCACCAACCAAATAAGCTCCTCAACACTTCCAAACCACCCAATATAGACAAAGACAAAGAGCCAAAGCCAAACATCATTCCCCTTTATTTTACCAAAAAAAGAAAAAGAAAGAAAACACAAAATGTCCCTCCAAGCCCAGGCAAGATCAACCTACCGCGCCCTCCTCCGCGAACTCCCACGCCGCAGCCTCTCAAACCCAACGCCCCTCCACAACCGCATCCGCGAGCTCTACCGCGACCATATTAAATCGGCGAATGAAGAAACGCTGAATACTCATATACAGGAGGCGGAGCAGGTGGCGCAGTATGCGCGCGCACAGCGCCAATATATTGCGCTTGTTGAACGGTACAACCCGGGCATGACGCTGGATGAGCAAGAGAAGATTAGGCTTACGGCTAGACGGGTCGGATTGAATTTGCCTATTGAGGCTAAGGACCAGAAGGGGGAGTGAAATATTTAGGGGTGTAACTGGTTGCACGTGGTGGATGGGGGGTGTGGTGGGAAAAGAAAAAGCTATGGCGGTAGACTTATGGGTTCATATATACGTGGAGTTCGGGTGTCTTATATGAATTGTGCCATTGTGTCATTTATAGATTGTATATTATTCTATGGTATCTGACTGACTGAGTGTATAACTCGTGAAGTCCGTTCATTCCTTGTGCGTCTGTCTTCGTGATGTCTTTGCTTTTGCGCCATATATATATATATACATATATATATAGTGGGCCGTGTGGTGTCGCGGAGGGTACTCTCTGCGCTGGATGACGGGCTTTATGTGTGGACGACGTTTGTCGGCCATCGGTGACAGCGGTAGCCCGTACATGTGTCTGTATATAGTGATCTGGGGATCTACGACGGAAAGAATTGTTTGATGACAGGTGGACTCAGCCACCCAATTGGACTTTTTCCATCTGCCGCATGAGTGTGCTGCTGCTTTCTTCATCTTCCAATCCCACGCCCACTTCGATCGCGGTCTTGGGCCGGTTCTTATTCAGTCCTTCGAGTAGGGTGCATGCCTTGCAAATCTTCTGACTCGATATATATCCGCACCGTTCGCATGTGCCCATCGTTTGCGTCTTTATGGTCTTCTGCGTTGAGCCCTTGATTCCCTTGTTCTGCTTCTTACGAGGAAGGGGAATACTCTGTGCGGGCAGCTTGATCTCAACCTCTCTCGACTCCGCCGCTTCATCATCAGCCAATTTCTTTTCCATCTCCGCCATCTCACCACCACGCGTCCGGCCATTCTGGCTGCCACATCCGCCAGCCGACTCATCATCCGCAGCCCTAGCACAGGCTTTACCCTTAACCTCCGCAGGGACAAGCTCCGCCATATCCTCCCCACTCTTAACAATATCCAAAATCGAGCTGGGCCGAATCTTCTCCAAATCCTTAATCAGTGTCCGCGCACTACCCCGAAACGCCTCAGGCGAGTAGATACACTCGGTACTGAAATAATCCAGCTGCTTATGGTGGGCATAGAGCACGATTTCCTTCTCATACGCATACTTCAAAGGCTTACTGCGTTTGATATCTGACGCAGCCGAATCTGTAACGATACTCGTACCCCTCGACAAGCGCGGCAGATCACCCCGCAGCAGATTCATCATAACCGTCTCCGCAACATCATCCGCATTATGCCCCGTAACAACATGCTTGATACCTAATCGCGCCGCACCGCGGTCTAGCGCCTGGCGTCGGAACACTCCGCAGTATGTGCAGTTGCCTTTCTTGCCCACCTGCGCCACGACCTGATCCATCGTCCACCCGTATAACTCGTCGTACCCGACGATCTCCAGTGGCATGTCATATTGCTCGGCATTGCGTTTGACTGTCTCTAGACTGTCGTCGCGATAGCCTTTGATACCCTCGTCAATGGAGAGGAGGCAGAGATCGAGGCCATAGTTGTAGCGCTCGTTCAGGGTCTTCAGTACGGAGGCAAGGACGGTGCTGTCTTTTCCACCGCTGGCACCGATGGCGACCCGTTCCCCAGGGTAGAAGAGGGAGGTGCTGGTGATTGTTTCGTGGACTTCGGTTTCGAAAACGTTGATGAAACAGGTTCGGCAGAGCTTTTCGCGGTTTTTTGGTCGGATGATTACTGCCCGGTTGGTTTGACAGTGGAAACAGGGTGAGGGCGCCATTCTGAATTGATTTTTGAGAATTAATTAAAATTAGCTTTGGGTTTGGAGGGGAAGAAAATCAGTGATAATCGATAACCATGATAGGCTTGTGAGTTTGCTTTGTTTGCATTGCGGAGAAGGAAAAATTCAAATGTTGCAAACAAAAGTAAGCAGAACAAGAAATGCTTCACTGCAAAGAAAAATACAATCACAGTTTGATTCTAATTAAAAATTTTGGTATTTCTATACCTATAATATACATAATCATGACCCAATCACATCTGGCTTATTGAGGACTGTAAGAGAGTACAAGAAACACCGGGAGGGCTTTACAGCTTCCCCTTGAACAAGTTGGCGATCATCTCCCGGCCCGTGATTCTAGAAGTAGCCCACAGGGTAGGGAAATCCAGAGTGCTGGAGAAAGTATCGGCATATCCGAAGAAGAGCATGGGAGGGATCCAGCCACGGGCATATTCCAGCGCGAAGCAGGACGCATCCATCTTGTATTGCTTCACCTCACCACGCTTGAGATGGTGCACGCTGCCCTGAGGGTAGACCTCAGGTTCGTAGGATCCAGGGACATAGGCAAGCTGGGTACCCTGAAGGATGTTGAAGTAATCATCCGCAGTGTGACGGCCAGTGTGGCCTTCGGTGCCGATTGCGGTTCCTGAATTCCGATGTGGTTAGCAAGAGGGGCATTGTATGGGCGAGCCGTTGGAAATGGGTCTAAATAAAAGGGGATGTGTGGAGAGGGAAGAGTTCGAGAGCCGCACCAAAAATAATCAAGTACTCCGTGATACCTGGTTGAATGTTAGCAATTTGTAGGATTCGGAGGACGGAAAAAGGAGAAGAATTCCGCTTACTAGCATGAATAATATACATGGCACCCATGGCACCGCCGGCGTTATTGAACACCCATTCCTCTTCCTTGTTCAGGTGGCTTCCGGGGACCTTCTCATCTAGCTCCGAGACAATGTAATTTACAACGGCGCGAGTATCGTTTCCGTGGGCAGCAATTGCACGCTGAGAGAGATCATGCAACTGGCCGGGTTCGAAGATGTAAAACTGTTCGAGACGCGCATTGAGGTAATTGTACAGACCGGCCAGAACGGCCAGTAAGGTGGCCAAGAGGGTGAGGGTACGCATGAGGAACGAATTGGATCAAACGGGTTTCAGAGGAATTAGTTAGGCGACAGGAGATGGAAGGAATGTAAATTGAATCAGAGTGTCAGATGGATCAGGAACAACAATAACAAACGCCGGTGGCCGCGGAGTGCGGCACCGAAAGGGCTTAGCGCGGCCCGGATTTGGGTGTCTTGGCTTTGTGGGGGGTTTTTTTACTACCGTACTACTAGTATTCTTCTACTCTATTTCTTGCGAAGCTACTCCCGAATATCCCCTGACCATCCATGACTACCGGTATCACATTCACGAATACCGACTCAGCAAGTTCAATCTCGGGAAATCTCTCTGTTGGCCAGATCTCTTATGTTAGGCTATATCTGGTGCATCATTCCTTCAAAATCACTTTGAAGACGGAGTTGTCTCCGTCTGTACTCCGTAGATCGTCATTGTGCAGTCTTCTTCATTACACAATGACAAACGTCATCCAACCTGTCTCTCCGATGTTCACCCGTATAGTGGCTCACCGGATAATTAATTTCCTTTGCGATAATTGATGGAGTTGACTGTCTCAGGATGAAGAACTTTACCTCCATGGCTCCACGCTTCAGCGGGTCCGCCGGATACTTCAAACACCGGCGCATCGCATTCAACGCTTGATTTATGCCACCATTCAGCGCTTGTTCCCTCTGGCACGGGGGCTCAATCCTCTAATCCCAATATGCCGAATTAACCGGAGATTAAACCACGGTTCAGTGTGTTTCTAACTGAGGACATCTCCGAGAGGAGCAGGTATATATACCGGCTTCTAGCTCCGGATCGTCAGCCAGAGGTGTCTCTCCAATAACGAGCTGAAAACCTAAACATTCAGTTTTAACCATCACTTGACATATCCAAAATGAGGTTCACTCCTCTTGTTCTCGGCTCCCTCGCCTCGGCTGCCGCCCTCAACCGCCGGGCAGATATGTGTGGCCAATGGGACACCACCACTACCGACAAGTTCACTTTGTACAACAACCTCTGGGGTGAGGCCAACGCGGACAGTGGTAGCCAATGCACCGGCCTTGATTCGGACAACGGAAACACTATTGCCTGGCACACCAGCTGGAGCTGGACCGGTGGAGCCGGCCAGGTCAAAAGCTTTGCCAACGTTGCCTACAACTTCGAGGCCACTCAGCTGAGCCAGCTAAGCAGCATCCCCAGCACATGGAAGTGGCAGTATGTCGTCATGTCAACTAGATTTATTTAGTTGGGTACTAACTTCCCTTAGGAACACTGGCTCCGACATTGTTGCTGATGTCGCATATGACCTCTTCACCTCATCCAGCGCAGATGGAGATGAGGAGTACGAGATCATGATCTGGTTGGCAGCCTTGGGCGGTGCTGGTCCTATCTCGTCGACCGGATCTACGATTGCCACCCCCACCGTGGGCGGACAGAGCTGGTCCTTGTATAGTGGCCCCAACGGCAGATGACAGTGTTCAGCTTCGTCGCCTCCTCCACGACCGAGGATTTCTCGGCTGACCTGAACGATTTCCTCAAGTATCTGCAAGAGGAACAGGGCCTGCCTTCCAGCCAATACCTGACCCATGTGCAGGCGGGTACTGAGCCCTTCAGCGGAAGCGACGTCAAGTTCACCACCTCTTCCTACTCTGTCTCTGTTGCCTAATTGCCACCCTGTCAGCAAGTTTAATAACAGTTTTGTAAATACTTTGGGGCGATGCTAGGCGCCGTGTTTCAGGGACCGTCAGGGATCGTGGGATGAATGGAGGGGAAATGGTTCGGGATATACATACCTCAGGAAGGAGTCTGAATCATCCCGTGTTTTGGCGAGAGGGGTACATGTTGTCTGTTGCATGGTTTATTGTGAATAGTTGTGGTTGTGTGCTTCTACCCGCTCGCTCCTGTGGAGCTGAGGCATCTAGCTTGTTGAGTATATAGGTTTTATTTAGAAATCAAGGTCGAAACATCTAAATATAACTGTCCAGCGTCTAATGAGACCATCGGATGGAACGAAGCGTTTAGAAGTGGCGCCGTATAATTATAGAAAGGCGACTAACTCGTACTAGTAGCTAAGGGTACCTGTAGGGAAAGTATCTATCTTAAGATCTTAAGTCGAGGGATTTACAGCGTCTGCACTGTCGGCGCTTAACCGCCTGCAGGAACCAAACCCAACCAAACCAACCAAACCTCCACTTCTGTAGTAAACCTGTGACCAACAGTACATCTCAACAGGCAGCAATCACCACCCCCCCCGGGACAGGATCATCACTAGTCGCGCCTTCTCCGGCATAGGGAGCATGACGAACCCCTCGGGTGTCAATTGTCAGGAATTGTACCCTATTCTGTCATACATACCATCGCATGATTCTTGACAGGATGCGCGCCAGAGGATCGTGCGAACAGCCCGCCACGATGTAGGGGAAAAAACGCGACCGCCGAAATAGGCCTTCGTGGCGAGCCATCCACTTGACGAGGAAAAAAGGTCGATAACCCTTGATTGAATCGTATCTCGTGTTCGAAGATCTGATTGATGGAGAGCTTATTGCCAATCATCCACCCCCCTGGGGTCGCGCGCCAAATGAGATCATGGGGGAGTGGATGGCCGGTATGCACGATGCGCGTCCAACCGCCGTCCTTGCATACTAGCATTGCCAGCCTTCACCTCTGAACCACTGAACCTCTGAACCACTGAACTAACTATCCACTCGCAGGGGATGTCTTGCCCTCATTCTGAGTTTCTAATAGATACTTATATTCTGTCAGTCACTCGCTGCCAGTGTTCAGCATGGCATTCACACACTTCAAGCTTTCTCTCTCTCTTCTCTTTTTATATATCGATCGGTCGGTCTCTTCATAGGTCTTTCCTTATCATATTTTCTCTCTTAATTGATCGATTTGATTATCACTGAATTAATTTTCTTGCCGTCCAATATTGTCTTACCGCCGCTCCATACTTCGGAAGGTGATCCATCAGGTTGACACGACAACCTCAACATTCCTCTTACCTGCTGGCAGGAATTTTCGCGACTCTCCTAAATATACCTAGTTTTACATTCCTTAGAATTTGTCTACAAGGCAAACATTGCCTCTTTTTATCCGTTGCTCTCGCTCTGTTCTGTTCCCCTCTTTTTCCCTTTACCAAATGCACACCCTGGCCTACCCTCCGTTCTATACCACCGCCGCCATGGAGCAAGTCAGCCAACCTGATCAAATGAACCACTTCCAACATCTCAATCGAATTGCTCTCCATGAGTTTGTCCGACTACCAGTCTCTCGTGAGATGGTGGCGCATCTAGCGATGCAAGCCTCACAGGTCATCCACTGCGAACCTCATGTGACCACGGCCAGCGCTCATGGTCAACCAACACCTCCCAGTACACCTCCATTGGATGCGGTTGATTCTCAACTTCCGCCTTTGCCCTCAGTCGAAATGTTTATCGCTTCGCTAGTCACCCGCTCTCAGGTTCAGGTTCCTACCCTGATGACCTCCCTAGTCTACCTGGCCCGTTTACGTTCTCGTCTCCCGCCTGTCGCAAAAGGCATGCGCTGCACTGTTCATCGCATCTTTCTTGCTTCCCTCATCTTGGCAGCCAAGAACCTAAATGACTCTAGCCCAAAGAACAAGCATTGGGCCCGTTATACTACCGTCAAGGGCTATGAGGGGTTTGCCTTCTCCCTCCCAGAGGTCAACCTGATGGAGCGACAGCTTCTGTTCCTCCTGGATTGGGATACCCGCGTTACTGAAGAGGACCTGCTCTGTCACCTGGAACCGTTCTTGGCCCCCATTCGTTACCGGTACCAGGTCCAAGAGCGTGAAGCCGAGATGCGCCAGCCCCGCGAATGGCGCCGTCTTCAGGCTTCCGCAGAACTCCTTGCTTGTCGTCTTCGTCGTCAGAAATTGGAAGCTCGCCTTGAGGCTCGTCGATCAAACTCGGTACATCGTCGTCAGCGATTACCTGCGAGCCCTGCATCGTCTGGGTCACTGTCTTCCATGTCATCCAACGCATCGCCAGCTTCCCTGGCAGACACTGATCGCCACAAGCCCTATCGTCCGCGGAGACGCCCGTCGACCCGCAGCGCTGCCTCTGTCTCCCCTCCATCTGCGCAGGATGTGCCATCCTTGACTCGAGTGGATACGGTGCCTTCATTGAGCTCGCGCGCATCTAGCATTGCGCCAAGTTCCCGAAATGCCACCCCCGCTAGTCTGCGCCCATCCAGCTCTATCACCAGCATGGAGGCTGATATTCGAGTGGTAGATGGAGCGCGTAGCCCATCTCTCAGTTGCGGATATATACCCGTATCTTCAATGACGGCTTCCAACCCCAAGATGGAAGAAATTCAGCAGCCTACCAAGAAGGTTCGGATGAACGGACATGCTGGGCACACTGGATTCGTCGCTCGATTCCTGGCTTCTGCCGCTGGCTCTTACATGGGTGGCCGAATGCGCTCTCACGTTTAACCATCCTACCTCCCAACTGAGCTGGTCTCAGCTATTAATTAACACCATCGCCTTTACCTTTCCCATCCTAGCACCCCAATGTTACCTAGAATGATAATTTGCTTCTCATGTTTTGCCAGAAAAGCGTCCCCTTGATATCCAGCAATACCCCACCGGTAGGTCTACGTTCGTTTTATATTGCATCGCATTGGCGTTGTTGTTCTTATATGATTTTCTTTATGTATGCCAGCTCTCGTTCGTTACTGCGATTTCCTATTGGCACTTTCGTTGGTACCGATTGTTTAGATATCACGCACTCCACAAATCTGCTACGCATGTATGTATGATGCCCTCACTTCCAGACTAGTCTGCTATAATAAATTGCTCTTATACCACATTCTATAAATAGACAGCAGAGTCGCCATGCATTTCTGTTCGTGTCTCCTAAGCGCTGTGTGGGTAGACATCCGTTGAAACCCGCACTGCTAATCCTTGTACTGCATACCCCTCAGCGCGTCGATTCCCGATCGACAATGATCAACAAAAACAATCCGTGCCAGGAATTTCAACCGCCACGCTCCAGCAACAGCGTATGCGCACCACATTAGTCAAGGAATGTGATCCGCACGGTCTAGAATCTGCTAGATCCATCGGAGCCGAAAAGCGCGACGTGTGAGGAATTCCCTCGCGGATGATGGGAACACAATTGCGAGATCCCCACCACAGGCTTTTCCGATCAACACATCGATCGAGATATATGTACACAGTGCTCCATACAAGGGGAGTGGGGTTCACATCCTGCGCTTTGGGGTTTGGATGAGCGGTTGGTGATTCTAGACTGGTCTTATCTTATCCTTACTTGGGGAGGGTTTTGTAGTAGAGATGAGATATCATTGACCGATGCTAATGTTTCGTTTTAACCGTCAGGACTCGTGATTGTGGTGTACTTCTTCACTTTTAAGTATCATTTTGTGCTTCTTGTGTTTGGGTGTTTTATATGGCAGGGGCTTCCCAGCTGTCGCGTTTGATTTTCATCAGGTTGGACTGTTTGTGTGGGAAGCATACTTCGCCTTCTTTGTAGAAGCCTGCTTTTTGGAGGTATTCGAGGACCCTGTTTGTTTTTCTTTTGGTTAGTCTTTCTGTGGGCATAGCGATGGGCTAGAGAGGGGATAGCTTACTTTGTGTTGTCCACTCGAGGCTCTAGCATGACTGTCTCGGTGCGCTGGTCTGAGAGCCAGCAGTAGTGCACCAAGGCGCTCAGCCAAATTTGCACCCGGTGCGCGCCACGGTACTCCTGCTCTCCGACCAGCAGGTGGATTCCCCGGTCGTAATTGTCGGCGCCCCCGATGAGCTGTCCCAGACGGTCTTCTTTGACCCAGTAGATCTCAAAGTACCCGAAGGGTTTGCCGTCCCAGCATCCAATAACCGGGAAGCTATGTCGGCTTTTCAGGTTGTTGCGGAGAAATTCTTCCTGATGGGAGATGGGACCGGCCTCTCCCCATGCTGCGCTGACTCTTGGGTCGTTCATCCACTTGTGCAGGTAGTCGAGGTCCGAAGGCGCGTTCGAAACCAACGGGTCACTGGTTGAGGCTGAAGAGGCATGTGATTTACTTGGTGCTCCTCCCGGTGCCTGAGTCTTCTGTGAGGGGAGGTACGGGACACGGAATGAGAGGTATTGCCCGACGCTGGGAATGTATCGAATGTAGAATACGTCTCCCTGGTGCGGTGGCTTGGGCCTGATTGGGTGCCGGACTCCGTTTGTGAAGGTGTACTGAGTGGCTGGCGGGGGGTAGTAAGTTGGAAGATTGGTGCTGGAAGCAAACGGCCCTTCGTTGGGTGCGTAGTGGCCAAAGTCACTGGTTGGGGTACCCGAATCAGCGAGGTACATCGTCTCACGGGTTGGAGACGATAGCTGGCGGGTATGATGCGACGAGCCGGGTACATTCTGGCCTATATTTGGAGGGCTCAGAGAGAAGACGAAAAGACGGGGATCGATCTGCCAGAAAGAGCGTCGGCTCACAAACATCGCCTCCCAGGACTCGTTATCGAAGGCATCCGGCCCCACGGATGAATCCTCGGTGGCAATCAGCCCCATCCGTTCCAGCTTCTGAAGCACGTTTCGTCCCTTGAAGATACCCTCACGCTTGATATTGACCCGCCATTCGCCCTTCGGTCTGCCCGCTACGGGCGTGCGCGACGAAGCCTCCGTCTGAAGGTGAAGGTCGGGTTCGGGCTCGTGGAAGTACCACCAGAGAGTGACCCAGAGCATCATGGCGATCTGGCGTGAAGCGGAGGTGGCGAGTTTATATTCGCTATTTGGAGGGCTGACGATGGCTGAGAGGTACAGGCAATCGTCGTGCAAGGTCGGCGCTGTGAATCGAGAGCTGTGCGACTGATCGTCACTCTTCCCTCCGGTCTCGCGAGCTCGGTCTCGCGCTCCATCAGATTTCTCCTTCTCCTGGGTATGCTGTCTAGTATACAAGACGATCGTCCATCCAGGAGGGAGTAAGGAGCGACCCAGGTGTGCATCATTGATCCTGAAGGTCAAGCCACCGAACACAGGCGACACTGAGATTAACTGCCCGTTAGGCAAGTGGCAGACGTTGTTGCGCATGACGAGGGATGACCTTTCTAGCCAAGCCAAAGGAATGGGGATATGGGAAAAGAGACAGGCGAAGGACCGACGGGCCTTAAGAAGGGAGGTGTGCAGAATTCAAAAAAGGACCGGCGTGGAGGCGAGTGGGATGATCCTCCCCATTGCCCCTCATCGCAGCCAACTGATCTCCCCGCTAAGAAAAAAAAAAAGAGAAAAAGAAAAAACAAAGGATCTAATCAATCAGTCAACCAAACTATGAATTGCAGATCAGCAACATTGTTTGATTAGGATCACCACACCGATATTCCTCCGACGAAGTTCATGCCCACGCCAGAAGGGAGTTAAATTGGATCCAGTTCAGAGATCCTGCAAAAGAGAAAATGGGAAGAAAATGGATGACGCAACAACATTTAAGCTTTCCTCCAGTTCAAGTTTTTTGGTGTAAGAAAACAAACACGATCGAATATAAGCCATCCATTATTAGTATGGTAATAATAAACTAAGCTATACAGAAAAAGAAAATACAATCAAGAAGAGATAAAAAAAAAAAAAAAAGGAAACCGGAAAGACAAGAAATCAGAACTCTTCCACCAGGGTCCCAATATTCCGCTGCCGCGCCAGCTGAACGAGATCCCCGCCGGTGACCAAGTCCATCAGTCCCAACCCTACACTCTTGAAAATCACATTGCCTCGCTCAGCCCACTCGCGTAAGCTTTTGCCATCGTCCGTCTCTTCGTCCTGGTCTTGGGCAGCACAGCGCACCATCAACAGCTCGCCCAGCTCCACAACTTGATTCGGCTTGATCTCGGCTTGAATCAGCTCTCCGGCCTCCTTCAAAGCCGCCTCAAGACTGTCCACAACCACAACGCCGCTACGCTTGACGTGTTTGTGGAAATGCCGATGCGAACCCTGTGCCTTGACCTCGTCGCGTATGATCTCTGGAGGCAACTCCGTCATGTGTGGCTTGTACGAACCAATGGCGCTGATCAGTCGGCCTTTCCGGCGGGCTTCGTGTGATGTGAGTATCTCCCCAGGGAAGAGTGGCTGAATAGACGGAGTGCAGCAGAAGATCGCATCAGCTTTGTTCAGGGCATCCTGCAAGATGCGCGAGTACTCGACGAAGTCGCTGCTAACAGCTGAAAACTTCACGTCACCCCGCCAACTAGAGTTCTCTGGTGAATAGATGTCTCGCAGAAGTTCCGCTGCCCGATCGAAAGATCTATTGATGATGAAGACCCGTTTGATTTCCGATCCCCGCAATGTCAGTGCCAGTCGTATGTGCCAGTAAGCCTGCTTGCCTGCTCCAAAGACTACCACTGTGCGCACTCGCTTGCGCTTGTTGAAGATCATTGTAGACGTTAGTGCCGTGCGGAATGGAGTGAGCTCATGCGCATTGATCAAGCCAAATGGCATGCTTTGCTCGTCAAGCAGTGTCACGCTGCCCTGTGGGGAAGTGTCTCGGGAACCAGCTGAGGGCCATGCTCCCATTGTGTTGGACAGTCCAGAATTGACCGGTTGTTTGTTCACACATCCCGACGGCAGCGACTTGCTGCTAGAGCTGACTGAGGAGCTTTCGTCTTCCTGCGACGAGACGGTCAAGTCACTCATGTCGGATGACAGCGAGCTCATGGAATTCCTCGATCCGTGCCGACTCCGTGACGCCGTCTTCTCGCCCTCGGGTATATCCAACCCAGTTTCGACGGCACACCCCGCGGTACCCCCGTCCTGGAGCGAGATCATTTTCATGCCGATGGTGCGGCCGGTACTGGCGGGCATAAATAGCGTTGTGGAGCCATTCTTGCGGGTGATGGCAGTTCTTTGGGGTTGATAGGTAGCGGAGCAGCCCAGTTCCTGATTTCCCGTCGAGTATTCTCGTAGCGCCTGAGCTAGGTTTTGTTGCAGCGATATAATCTCGTCGCGGGTCAGCGATAGCAGCAGCGAGCGGAGCTGTGCCTGAGAGAGGATGGTCAACGGCATGAGGAAGAGTGCAGTATGATATCCTTGTCTCCACAATTTACAAAAGGATTGTGAACATGGGGAGAAGAAAAAGCTATTGTTGTAGGGAAACGTGGTACCACGGTTGGAGGAGGAGGGACCGAGTTATGGTGGTGGGCGGGCGGACTTGATAAGGACTGATGGCTGCGAACGGACATTCAACAATTCACCTGCCATCCAAAACGGAGCTAGACTCAGGGGGGTTGAGCGGAGATAGATTAACAGACACATACTATATAAAGCGCCGGGACCATTAGCAAAGAAATAGCAAAGAAACGCAAGCCATCTTGACCAACCTTGGCATCAGTATCGCATCGAATGAAGAGGTCCGAAGAGGGTCGGAGAGTCGGCGTTGAGGACCGTGATGACGACAGTCAAGACTCCGGCTGAGCGAATAATGAAAGCGGAGCGGAGACGAGACCCATCCAGTCCTTCCCGATGCCTTTACGGAGTACACGGTACGTCCTGCGCAGTAGCCACGATATTCTCTTTCTATGTGATTCAATCATTTATGCTTGCCATGGCATAGGTCCGATATAATGCCTTGATCAACCCCGGACTCTAGAATATCCCCTCCGCCGCAACATCAGAAAACGCCTCGAATCAAAAAAAAAAAAAAAAAGAAAAGAAAAGAAAAATAGAAAATAACTTCAAAAGCCAAGAAAACAAAGGCAAAAAGGCAAAGAACCAATCAAAATATCATGCCTCGTTTATAACCCCCACATATCTTCATTATCCCGGACTACATCATCCTCATTAAGAACCCGTAATCCGCTTTCCTTGGCTTCTCGTTTCCTCTGCCGCTTGGTGACCATCCGACTGGGTGTAAGCGGAGTTACTGGCGTAAATGGCATATACGGGCTGTATGGTGTGGGCATCCCAGTTCGAGGACCATTCATAGGTTTTAAGGGGCGCTCCAGGACGGTTGTCTTGGTGGCAGGCGCACTCTGTTGCGGGTAGGCATCTCGGAAGGGCAAGGAGGATGAGCCGTGGCCAGCCACGGACAAACTCAAGGGTGCCGGGGCTGCGCCCGCGAGCCCTTTGACGCTCTCTTCTCGCCTGTGCCTTGAATTGTCACCACTGGTGGTGTTGGTGGAGGCGGTGGGTTGTAGAATCGCGGTGTCAAGGGAGGCTGGTCCTCCCCATACGACCTGGATGCCATCACGTCCGGGGAGCCCACCGGGGAGGAAATTGGTAGCTTCCGAAGAGGAATACGAGGAGTACGGGGAGTACGCGGCTTGCCGGTGTTTGCCTCGGGGTGAGAGTTGCTGTTGAAAAGGGAGAGCGACGAGATTCTGGACAGGCGAGAACTGGCCCTCGGGCTCGTTGGCATCTTTGCTGGAGGAGGGGGAGGTGGTGCTTCTGACAGTCTCGATGAACGATCCGTGAACGGGTTCGATTGAGCACTATCCGGAGAATGAATCTCACTCTCTTCTCGAGTAGCCTCCTTCTCAGCTGCCCTCCGCTCATCGTGTTCCATAACAGCGGCGTACAACATTTCCATTTCTTCTTGCGCTCTGCGCCGGTCTAATGCAACCACCGACTCGTCGATGGTAGACACGCTGCTGTTATTGGCTATATGAGATCGTGGGCCCTTACCCAAGCTGCTCCAGGATCGATTGAAGCCGTTTGGCATACGAGGACTAGGAAGATTGGCAGAGATTGGGGTGACTGGACTTGGGTCCATACTGGGCGGAGGCTTGACAGGCTTCATCATCTCTACCTGCAACGAGAAGTTGGACGATTGCACTGTCCTCCTCAGACGACGCCCTACAAAGAGGAGCAATGTCAGGAGGATCGCGACAAAGATCACGTACGCTCCTACAATCCCACCGATTTGGATGGCGAGGAGAGACTGGTCCAAGGTATAAGTAGTGGGGTGTCCGCCAGCCCGACGGCTCAGGTTCGGAATATGAATCAGGAGATTTGACTGTTCCTGGGATACTGATCCAGCAGCAACCACAGGAGATAGTAGAGCAGCAAGGATTATGTGGACCGGCAACATTGCTTGTTCATAGACCCCAGATAACAAACCTAGTGATTAAGTATCTTTATTAAACATAGTGGCGGATCGCAAAGGGGACTGCAAATCCTTTACAGAAAGAGACGGAGTGACACACATCCTGAAAGAAGAGGGGGGTATGAGCGACATATTGAAAGGCGGGTACTGAGTGATTGGATGTGATAGTGTGAAGCGCCAGCCATGGAGAAGGTTGAAGTACGATGGAGATCCTCCCGTTCTGTGGCTCTATTGGTGCAAGTTACGCGCCCATCTGCACATCCGATCACACACGAATTTCTGGACCACTGGCTTGCCAGACCTCGATCCTGGTGTTACTTTGGATTGGGGGGATCTCAGCACGAATAAGATTGAAGTGCTTTGTATATCTTCGGGACGAGGATGTTGATTGGCACATTCTCAATATCACCACTTCCGTTAATCACAACCTACATATATACCTGTCACTTGTCAAACTTAGGGCAAACCCAGCGACGGTATGTCTCACTGTGATTAGCTTAATCTTGTCTAATCCCTAGTCCATCCATCTACTTCTGTTTCAGAGACACTCGATAAGCTTAGGTTGCGTCTGCAGCTTCCTACTACTAGTCTTAGGGCTTCCTGTCATCCCAAAGGGGCTAGAATCACATATAGCAATATCCTGACAGAGGCTACCACAGGTACATACATCACACCACATCAGATCACTGCCTCAAGGTGTCCAAATTCAAACGAGCCGCCCTTCAACTGTGCAGTGTCAGCGCCCAGTGACGGAGGGGTGACACCGTAGTCGGCGAAAGTACCCATGGTCTTCTAATGCAGAACGGTCTGGTTTTACAAAGAGTATGGCCTGGCCTGTCCATCATACAGGGCAATATCATACAATATATACATCAAACATATATACACATGGCTCTCCAGCCACTAATCTTTCTTTGAGAACAGGTCCCGCCAGAATTCCTTGAATCCATATCCTTTAGTTTTATCCTCCTCATAAACTTGTGTGGTAGTTGATGTGCTTAAGGACTCGATAATGCCGGACGCTTTAGAGCCGACGGATTGCGAACGACTGGTCCTCTCCGTCGCGCGCCGTCTAATCTCCTCGGCTAAAGTTGGCGCTACATCGGCGTAGCACGTAGATAATTCACGCTCCAAATTGATGTATGGTTTCTGAGCAACGGGTGGTGCTTGCAGGTTGTAAGAGCGAGTGAGAGTATTGAGATTCTTGACTGCTAGCTCATAAAAAGAGCGCTCTGTTGAAAGATACTGCGGGTCACGCAATGGCGAAACATATGGCAGTGGGGGGCTTTCTTTGGTTTCGACCTCAGGCGACGTAGAAGCTAATCTTTCGTCGTCGTTCAGATTCGTTGCGGATGGCTCGACATTATAAAGCTCCTGGAACGATCGCTCTATCTTGACTTTCTCTGCCAAACGGGCTTCCGCAGCGGCATAGGCCTGAGCACGCCTCATCTGAGCTTCCAGGGATCCCCCTTCGCTCGCAATTAATCTCGCCGCTTGCCGTCTCCATTCAGTTCTTAGCCGCTGGCGAAACCGATCAAGCTCCCTCGCCAGCTCCTGTTGTTTCTCGATCCATGGAGGAACCAACTCTTGTTTTTGAATCATCTTGTTCATGAAATATTCAGTTGTATCGATGAATGCACTATTTGCATTATGGTCGGTCTGTGTATTGACACCTTTCCCTCGTTTTATTCGATCGAATTGACCGCGCGACATCGCATCCTCTATCCGTTCGTTCGCAAGTGATGCTAACCCTTGGATCGTCATCGGCATTGGTCGACCACCAGGAGTAAACCTCTCTCGCATTTCTCGTCGCATTGCCTCACGCTCTTCATCCGACACCCCCGGGCTTTGACTTAGGGTGTATGTAGATGTGCGGTCTTTGGCTTCGGCGAGGCGGAGACCCGGCGACGTTGAGGTCTTGGGAGAGATGCGCATATCAACAGGGTTTGGTTGTGGGATTTTATAAGGTACGCGCATAGGTTTCTTCGAGCTATCCAGCATACGCAGTGTGACATCGTGAAGGCTCTCCGTTCCCGACCATGGCTGAGCTGCGGCAATATCTTGAGTTCCTTGACCTGCACTCGACTTTAGAACGTTAGTTTAGGATCTCCAGCATCATTGAACATGTACATACAGGCATATCGGCGACTGCATGGGCAGCTGCATGGTCACTTTTGAATGCGGTTGCTGCGATTCTCTCTTCAAGCTGTTTCTTCAGATCATCCGAGAACCCCGCGTGTTCCAGGTTTTTGCGCGCCGAGCGGCCTCCTTCAAGCATGGCCTGTTCTGTCATTTCAGATAGCCTTCGCACCATAGCGCTTTCTTCTTTATGCCCATCCTGTAATTGCGTAGTCTCGCTGCTTTCATTCGCCTTCGAATCTGCATCTCGCCACTGGCTTATCGCGGAGAAACATCTCGATCTCAGACACTTTGTTGTAGATAATGAGGATAAGTTATTGAAGTTGAACGCTCCCACATGCCGTTTGCTCATATCCGCCTATATTAAAAAGAAAAGCAACCCCTAAGTGAGTGTAATGACCGTAGCAGATAGCTCTTATCTCCAAGGATGGCCATGTATAGTTAGTTAAACTCACAGGACTATAGGGTGTTATGTCAGCCACTTCCGCGGGCAAAATTGCCGAAAATGTCTTGGCACCTCCGAAGGCTTTCCGACAACTTTTGGAACCAGAGCCCAAGACTATACATTGACCTGCACCGGCGCTATTGGTGACATTCCGTCTATCCAATTAATCGAATTTGGGTTCCTTGAGTGGCAGAAGTTCAGAGAGCACCGGAAACACCGTCAATATGCCCCCGAAAGGTGCCACAACTCGTCTCAACCCGGTCCGTCTGCAGACCATCCCTCACCTTCGAGTCCGTCGTCCGAATCAGCATGAGCAGAACCCCTGCGTGACAGTCATGTCTTCGATGCTGAGTATGTTTTGTTCCTGCTTTTAATCGCTGTCGCCGGGACTTTGCAGATAGACTTTCGCTGTGTGCAATTGTGGAGCTTCTGTGTTCCGAGCAGCTTATGGGGTTGTCAACAATTTTTCGACTGCGATGATATGCTAACCTTGGTTTCTTGATAGGTTGCTGGGCGTCGGCTGGATACACTGCAGAGGGATGCGCGGCCCTTGAGCAGCAATTGAGGCAATGCATGGACGCACCTGTACGTATCTTGATTTCTCTCTGCTACGCCTTTTTAGTCCAACTTCCTGGCCCGTGTCCATTTCAGAATAGCCTTGCTAATGATGTCTTTCTTCTTCTTGCAATACAGAAACCGAAGAGCAACAAGAAGAACACCATCAACTACCACCTCATGAGAATGTACCCCAAGGTCGTCGGCCCCAAGAAGAGGGAGGGTACTCTTGGTTAAGAATTCTTTGACTGCAATGTTTGTTGATATCCCGAAGCGTCGCGCATCATACCGGTTATGCGGTGGTAGCAAGCAAGGTTTTTATATTGGTTGTTGGGGGCCCCGGGGATGGGTGATAAGCGTGGAGGCTCTGGATTGAGTCTTGACGGGCTCGGAAAGAAATCTTTATGTATCTGGAGTTATAGGCTTTTCGTTTGCGGGTGGATGTGAGCTTGTGTTACGGACATCCCCTTCTGTACATTACATGTGCTATGTCATAAAGAAAAGAACATGTTTCAATCTTAATCATTGAGAAGACATAGCTAATGGTCATAGTGATTGTGGGATCGTTAACACTTGGATACGATCTACGCGGCTCCAAACTTCAACACCAGCTTATCTCCGCGGGGCTTAACCGTATAGGCATCGATTGCTTCAATGTCGTTGTCGTCTACGATGGACGTCCTGTAGTTGGTGTAGATGGCTGCCGTTACTAGTTTGATTTCTATAGGTAAAGGTGTCAGCTTGGGGGACTCTATATCGGGAGCAATGGTCAACTTACCCTGCAAGGCCAGATTGCTTCCTACACACATCCTTCCGCCACTCCCGAAGGCCCAGAACCACCGCCTTCTTTCTTCGAGGTCGGAATCCGAGTTAACACCCTTAAGCCACCGCTTAGGCTGCCATGTCTCAGGATCCGGATACACATCAGGGTTGCGATGGAGCGAGTATGCCTGCGCATTAACTCTGATATTTGCAGGGATATCGCTGTAGCCAGCCAAGGTACAGGATGGATAAGGTGTGACACGGGGCTGGATTCCAGGGATTGGAGCATGGAGGCGTAACGTTTCCGTAACTATGGCCTCAAGGAGAGGTAATGAATCAACTGCTTTTGCCTGAGGCAGGCCCCTTGACGGACTAGGTTGGGGAAACAGAATTTTGGGCTCTAGAGTCAAGAGCTCCTTCCGCAGCTCTTCTTGCAGGTCCGGGTGGCGAGAAAGCTCCCAGAACAAGTAAGTGAGGGCGACTGCGCTGGTTTCAAAACCAGCAGTGAGCTGGTCATACATTTCGCAGGCAATGTCGAGCCGCTGTTGCTTCGAGCTCTCTTCTGTATTTCCCTTTTGTGAGGACTGCTTTATCATTGCTTGCTGGAGCTGCTTGTATGCCACAGGCTCGACGCTGGCGTCGGTTGATTGCAAACATTGTTCTGCTCTGTCGCAGAGGTCTAGACACCAAGCATCAAGCATTTCATTGGCCTCATCGCACCATCTAGGTATCAAATGGATACCAATGGACTTAGCCCAAGATAGAAGACCAGGAACTTCTTGGTGGTAGAACTCATACGGTTTCCTGCCCTGGTAGTAGTGGAGCATCCTGTGCCGGAAAGGTTCATCTTGAAGCCAGTTGGTTCCATTTGCCAAGCCAAAGAGATACGCTGATACAAAGTCTATGGTGAGTCCCTGATTGAGATCATGGACCTCAATAGGCGCATTCGAGGAGACTGCTTCTTGGATCATGGGCAAGAGGCGATCGAACAAGATAGTCTCCGAGATTAGACGCATATGAGGTGAGGACTGCAAGTATGACTTGCTGTAGATATTAGACAGCATCCTTTTACGAACAGAATGGGGCTTGCTGCCAATCATGGTAAACATGCTCACGGTCCTTTATCGGGTGAAGCCCTTTATCAGCTCTAGTCAAGACAGTCGCAGTTTGATAAAGTATAACCTTACCCGAGTGATCCGAATACTCGTGGATACCATTCATGCTTTTCGAATCCGCCTGTGTAAACAGTTTTGATACCACCTTCAACACAGTTGATGGATATCTCTGATGGGGAAAGCCGCACAATAGGCCCAAGTCTTTCATGGGCAGCCTGGATGGTCCGGTTGTTTTGACTCCGAAAACGCTTCCAGAGCATCCAGGCAGGAGATATGGGAACTGTCCAGTGGGCATTGGGGATCTTGGACAATGGGGAGAGGAAGACGGGATACACAATGCATTTATATAACAAAGCAATTGACAAGACAATCGCTGATATAGCCACTATATGCGATCCGGCCATGTTTGCAAATGTTCACTTAGCATCAAGACCAGACAATGGATGTGACAAAGAGGACTCTAGGAGACTTGTGTGCAACCAGGAGAAGGGACGACTGTTAGCAAAGGTGACGGCAATGGATACCTTATATGCAACTGCAAGGCTCGCCAGCCATGATCAGGTTGAAAAGCGGTCGATCCCGACGGACCCTTGCTACAGGGTGGACCTACCATTAGGAGAAGCTTCCCCCGCATATAGAAACTTTTGACGAGAGGAGTCGAGTTGGCAAATCCTTTAGGGAAGAGACACGATAAGGAACCCCGTATCCGATGAGTCCCCAAGTGATCCACGAAGACCACTATCAATCTATTTAGTAATGGGTGGAGTCTCTATGGTTGAATTGCTCTTTCAGTCTGCAAACACCCCACATTTGAAGAGACCTGATAAGGAAAGGTTGAAGAAAGTGCGGAGATAAGATTTTATTGATCGGAGCTGATAAATAAGCGCAGGATCTGATTGGAATTTTATTTATGACATAATGACCGAATTCCCACAACGCAACAGCACACAGTCACTACCCTCGTCTTGTATCTTTAGCTACTAGGCCTTCGTTCTCAATGTGTGTGGGTGTAAAATATCTCCTCTGCCAATTTTTGCCATGAATCCTTTGCCATCCGAAGAGTATTCGAGTGTCTCACACCATGGCCTCACTACTATGTTCCCAGGCTGATGGTCCAAACAGCCTTCGCATTCTTGCTGATTGCAGCATGTCCTAAACCACCGCGAAAAGGACCTTAGATATATACATTCACAGACAGATTATGATGTCGGTAATGCTTTAGACTAGAGTACATATGTGAGTCGTGTACATTTACAAACGGTTTCGGATACTCATGTACTTTCAAGGAAATCGCCACTAGGCCTCTTCAGCATTCTTCGCCGATAGAAAAACAGCTTAGATCTTCACTATGTTGTCTAAACTACCCGTGGAGATAATATATCTCATTGCAACTTATCTACCATCTGCCAGTGACTTAATACATATCGCGCAGACCTGCAAGCGATTGTATGGAGTTGTATCTGCCGAGGATGGGCGTGTTTTTCGAGCGTTTATTGAGCATCGGTTTCCTGGCTTTGTACCGTCTTCATGTTGGAAAGATGCCACCCAAGCTCTGACTTCTCGCTCTCGAGCTTTGGACAAAAATGCGGTAGTTAGTCGCTTCGTTGCGAAACCCCCTACTCGCGCTGAATTGGGGATTACAACACGAACCGACAGACCCACCCTTGGGTATCGCCCTGCAATTGATTCATATGAAACCTGGAACGGGAGCACGTGGGAGGACCGCAGGGAGGTGCTCGCTTGGGGCGGCGGGCATGAGATTGTCATGAAAATCAAGCAACATGGAAAGGCCCAGAATCACCAATGGGCCATTTTCGATGATTTGGATGTCGTCAGCAGCCATGACGACATATGTGGTCTGCATATCTTGCGACCGGGGCATTATCGCAAAGCGGACGATAAGGAACATGTAATCTTCGGTCGAATGCGCGGCGAGCTTCTCCATGTTGCACTTAAGCCTAACGAGGACGCACATGAATACGTGCAGCGATACGAGACATCTAACTCTGGGCTCGAACATATCGATCTGAGTGAAGGACTAGACCCGATTCTGGCTGCACATGACAAAAATGGAACGATCAAATTTTACAGTACTACCAGGGATGACGACGTGGTTGAACCCTTTGGGCATATTGTAATTGAATCAAGGCTCGCAGCACGTAACAAGTGCTCTAAATTTCTGTCTCCGACCCTATTTGCTATAGGCACAGGGCGCTCCGAGAATGCGCTGGCTATCTCTTCTATTTCATCGGAACGGTTGGCGCTGGAGCGAGAGATCAGCGTGCACTCATTAGATCTTGACATACGGCTTGGCTCTACTGCAAGTGTCATTGTCAATGCAATGGCACCTCTATGCGGACAGGTTACTACGGGGTCCCCTGGTAGTACATTCCTTGCTGCTTGGGGTGATCGTCTAATCAGGTACGATCTATTTCCCCTATCATCGCTTATCGATACAGCTGACGAGTGCGCAGACTCCATGACGTTCGTTCAAACCGGGCATTCGAGTCCACTTACAAAGACCCAAGCGACCAAAACCAGATTTACTCCCTTCACCCTTTTGGCCATGACAGATTTCTCGCAGGAGCTGGCGCAGATGCCGTTGTAAAGATCTTCGATCTTCGGATGCCAAAAACCTACAGTTACACGGATTCTAGGGCTTCTTCCATTTACCAGCACAACGTGCCCCGTCGAAAAGCCTCAGGAGGAGAGACTGCACCCCCGGTAGAGAGCATCAAGTATCCCCGCAAAGATTTCTCTATGTTCCTGTTCTACGCACCACCATTGTACCCAAATGCCCCTAGGAGGCGCCAACGTGAATCCACTCCATACCGCGGTGCCATCTACTCCCTGTGCTCACCGTCACCTCTGTCACCCACGGTATACGCCGGAATCACTGACGGAGTCGTTCGACTGGATTTCATGTCTACTGATGACTTGACTGGTTCATGCAGGGATTGGTATCGGGAAATGCTTGATATAGACTTAGAAATTCAGGAGGACAGGACGATTTACAACCCTGAGCGAGTTCTGGATTTGTCTGGGTACGAACGGCCGGAGCCTGATGACACCACGACAACGTCTCCATTGAGGACACAGAAACGATTCGCGTATATTGATGAGAGTAATATCAAAAATGAGCAGCTAACGGGTTGGGACCGGAGGTGGAACCCAATGGAAAGATTTGCTGCCTGGAGACGTCGGGATTGAAATTGGATGGCTTGACGACCCCTATAATGTTTTGCTCCTCTGTCGGCATAAAATCACGGAGTGTTGGTTTTTGGTACTGCTTGTTTTGTTGCTTGGTGGTTAACTATCAATGTAAGGTGGTCGATGTTTATGATGGGGACTCTTAGATGCGGAAGTATTCGGTTGGTTCATGGGTTTTTAAAGATCTTTAACAGGAATGTAGAGACAATTAACGATTTTGACTTTTTTTTTGGAGGTGAATGTTTGCACGAATAATTGAATAGAAGTCCCAGCTCCATCAGCGCCTTGCTTGTAGTTGTGAATAAAGAAATGGGCAAAGCGATCTAAATATGTAAACCTAGATCTAAGGGTCTAAACTTTTGTAGAGCACATCAGGAAGTGGATAGTATGCTGAACATGACGGCAGCCAGTACAACCCAACTCGGTCCACTAGCCTCAACTTAATCCTCGAACCTAAACGACTTGCCTCCGGAGATATCGATGGGACCACCACGGTAAGAACCACGCTTCTTCTTGTTCTTCTCTTTCGTGAAGCCCTTGCCACGAGTGACCGAGAGATCCTTGAAGGCTCTGTCAGCATACGCATAGGGGACGTAGTCGTTGGAAAGCAGGTGGTCAGTAGGCTGTTCACTGAGAAGAGCCAGAGGAGTAGGGCGGGCGCCAGTGTGCTTCTTGACCGAGCCATTTCCGGGGGCTGGGCTAGCACTAGACGAACCGGTCACGGGTGTCGAAATGTTAGTAGATTTCTGAGCACCCGAGTCGGAGTTTTGAACTGTTTCACTGCCGGAGGAACTCTGAGAGGATGAAGTAGTCTTGTTGCCCTTTCCGTCTTCCTTGTCCGAGTCCGAGGAAGAGGAAGAATCAGAGTCAGAGTCAGAATCAGATGACGAGTCGCTGCTGTCGCTGGCTGAGGACGATGATGAAGAGTCCGAGGACGAACTCTCTTCCTTTGCGGCGACCTTTGTCTTCTTATTCTGAGGGGCTTTGTCTGACTCGGACTCAGACTCGGAAGACGAGGAATCAGACTCGGCCTTCCGCTTAGTACCCTGAGGCTTGGCAGGAGCAGGGGCTGCCGCCTCCTCCTCACTCTCATCATCAGCATCGCTATCGGAGGCAGAAGAGGAAGACGAAGACGAAGAGGAAGAGGAGGAAGAGGAAGAGGAAGAGGAGCTCCTAGATTGCTTCTTCGACTGTGCTTTCGGCGCATCGTTCATCTCAACGTCAGAGTCGCTCGACTCATCTGAACTGCTTGAACTTTCTTCGCTGCTGCTGGAACTGCTGGAGGCCTCTGATGAGCTAGAATCGGAAGATTCCTTGGTAGCCTTTCCGTTATCTTCCCAGTTCTGGAAAATTTCGAGCAAAGATGGCGCATTCTTGGTGTCGGACGGCGACTTGCTAACGGATTTGCTGGCTTGTTCTTTCGAAAAGGCTTTACTGGTACTGGTGAAGCCAGACCCGGTAAGAAAAGCTTCAATAGAGGCGATCAGCTGGGGAGGAACAGATGGTGCGCTCTTGGCCTTTCGAAGCCGAAAATTGTCAGTAAATCAATCCTGTCTGAATGACTACTAGTAGAACCATCCCACCTTCTTATCCTGAGCCAACTTGGCAGGAGAAGATTTCTTTCCAGCCATGATTATAGTTTTGTATTTAGTGTCTCCCAGATACAATGACTGTGTTATCACTGTACGAAGTACTGAACCTTCGTCTATATGTTTTCAAAGGTTTCCTTGGAGCAAACCAAAAAAAAAAAAAAGGGCAAAAAACACTAGGAAGGCGGTCAATGATAGTGCATCTTGTGATTGGCCAACCAAAGTATCACAGACAGTTGCCTTCACGTGGGCCCTCGTGACATGCTGAGTTTCAGCCAATCTATGCAAACCAACAATACTCCACTGGAATCGTGAAGAGGAAAAAGCATTACTACTAGTACTAAGTTGAGGTTATTAGATGTAATCAATCAGCAGGATTCAAGACGTAGATCATGTGACTATGAATTACCAATTCTAGGTTCTTCAGCTTCGAGTCTATCAAATAGACGGTAGTTGGCTGCACTATGTCAACCTCTGGAACGCAGTACATACTCCGTAAGTATGCAGTAACTACGAGCTCTCCGCCCACTGGTTACTAGCGCCCGCCGTCCATTCCCCCAGTAGCTAATGTACAACTACCGGCTTGCTCCTCTCTGTGGGCTCTCGATTTAACGCCAGCAATCCATGCTGCCCCTATTTGGCCTTCTTTCTATACTTCGACATTTCTTTTAATTTTTCGAGGCAACTACCTCACCAGCTGTCCTCCGAACACGGCGCGCACCGTGTAGCCTAACCCCCGACACTCCCGATCATGTTCACCTGGCCTCTGATACCTCCTACGTAAAACAGGCTCCCGGCAATTGGAAAGCAATAATGAACGGTCGTGATCGCTCGCGGGGCCCGCATCCTGGCGAAAACCCCCCTCAAAGGGATCCGCGTCGAGTCGGTGATGGTCGCAATGGAGGTCATACTGGTGAGGCTACAATGTCAAGGGCTGAGAAATTTGAAGATGAGAAGAGACGGATCATCCAAAGCTGCTTCGTAAGGAAAGATGGCGATGGCACTTGTATGTATTTCTCTTGTTGCGCAATGTTGGTTTAGTCGCTTTGCCTTGATTGAACTGGGCTTTGTCATGTCAAACCGTGTATAATGGGTGGCCGCTTTCTCGTCTGCCGCGCCTGCTAAGACCTGGACGAAGATCTTTGCACGGCGAAGGGTAGGACCAAGCGCAAACCATGGAGGATGGATTCGCGGATTGCTTGCTGACTTGTCCTGCCGTTCTCAGTGGCTGAATCCTACATAACACACGTTCGCATCACGGAAGATGCTGCGTATCCGTCTACACCCCCTCCACCTAATTCCCCGCCCGACAACAAAAAGCCTCGAGCAATAATTGTTGCCGTGAGAAAATCAGGCAGGGTGCGTGTGCACAAGGCTAGGGAAAACAATGACGGTTCGTTTTCGATTGGGAAAACGTGGATGTTAGACGACCTGTCTGCGATACAATCGTTCAATGCTTGGGTACCATCGTCTCCATTGGAACAGCAGCAGAAACAATGGGCCTCAACTGTTGGATTTGTGGTGACCATTGGGAAGCCCTATTACTGGCAGGCAAGGACATCTAAGGAGAAGGATTTCTTTATCGGTAGTTTGGTGAAAATCTACAAAAAATATACCGGAGGAAAGGTACCGGAGCTGATAGGCTTCGATGATCGCGAGCGACAATTGCTTGCGGGCATGCCCCCTCCGGGTCCTAAACACCCTGGCCAAGGACCCCCGCGACCTGAAGTGGCACTCCCTCCTCCAGGCCCACCATATTCATCCCATGGTAGCCGGCCTCAGTCTCCTTACTCGAGTCGTGCACCTAGCCGGGATGGGCCACGCCGGCTACCCTCTGAAGAGCAATCCCTAAGAGCCCAACGAAGTAGGGATCAGATGGGTAGACCATCTACTGCCCAGTCTGGTCAATCTGGGAGAAGCATTCCCCCGCCGCCTGTACCGCCTCAGCACCCCCCGCCAGTTCCCCCTGACCAGCGAGACCAGCCACCTCCCCGCTCAACTGAGCGTCTTGCATCTGAAAACCGAATGCACAAGTCACCAGTATCTCCCGAATCGAGGGGCCTAGACATCCCTGCCAGTTTACTGGCCGCTTCGGCTTCGAATCAGCGGGATCGACCCAGTGGAGAGTCTGAACGTAATCTAGTCACTCGCCCTGAGGTCCAGCCACCGCCGTCACGCGATGGGAAAGGTGTGCCAGAGCCAAAGCTTCGCACTCAGGATTTGGCTTTCAGCTCGCCTAGGCACAACAAAGACGGTTCCCGACCCACCACAGCTCAATCGGTTCCGAGTGAGAGTCCGAATGTCATTCCAAGTCCAGTAACCAACCCGGAGCCCAACTCAACTTTCAATGAGGGCAGCATTAAGACATCCAGCCCCGAGGTTCCCACGGAGTCTTACGATAACATTGCACCCGAACGCACTCCCGATACGCAACCTGTCGAGATACCACCTGCATTGAAGCTGGCCACGTCAAGCACTGCTAACGCTCAGATGACAACCGATGTTGCCGAAACAGCAGCACCCGTAAGCACGAAGGAATCGCAACCCAGCGAATTGGCCCAAGAGGGTGGGCCGATCTCTCCGCCAGTCAGTCCCCCTGAGGTGCCCACATCACCTGTTGAAAACGAGGCGGATGCACATCGCCCCGGTCTTGGGCCTATGATTAAGAAAAAGCAAAGCAAGGAAGCTGTCGGGGCATTTCGCAAAGCCGCTACCACTCATGGCGCTTTCAAGCCGAGGCCTGGTGGTGCTGGTGAGAGACTATTAGCAGCCGCAAGGAAACAAAAAGCTGAGGAAAGCAATGGGCCCGATGGAATCACTGGAGTAGTGCCCGCGCCCTCACTTCGTACAGCCATTGAACCTGTGGTATCCCCCGTAACACCGGATAACGAGATACCAGCCCTTCCATCTCCAGCGAAGGAAGTGCCCTCTCCAGCCAAGTCTCCTATACTGGAGCCACCCACAGTTGAAGTAACCCAGGCTGCCGCTGAAGAAGCTACTGTTACGTCGGTGGAGACTCAGGAGGAACCGAGAAACACTTCGAGAGCTACCGTGAAAGTCGTTGCGGACGAACGAGCGAGGTCTGTGTCTCCATCTCCTGATGGTCGACGTCGCAGACGCCACGAGGACAATACGATCAAATACTGCCAGGCGCTTGGGATCAATTCCAGCAGTATAGGTGAACGTGGTGCAGACTTTGACGACATATTAACTGACCTTGGGTGGAATGGACGCTTGAATGACGAGAAGAAAATCGAAGATCTTGAGGCTGATATCCGCCGTGAGATCGGTCGTGTCGAGGCTACCAGCTGGCTAGGTAATCTTGAGCAGCAAGAAGGGAAGCTTGATCAGCTTGCCAAGTTAATTGATAAGACTATCGAGGAGTGTGAAGAGCTGGATAATCTTCTAACTCTGTACTCGCATGAACTCAATGTAAGTCACCAAGCCCACGCAAAGAATATCCCCTCACTCTTTTTGTACATGCTGTTCTACGTGTTTTCTGACTCCGCGGACAGACCCTTCATGATGATGTATCATATATAGAAACACAGTCTCAAGGTTTGCAAGTACAGACCGCCAACCAGAAACTACTCCATAACGAGCTTCAAAATCTGCTGAAAACTCTCTCTATCTCCTCTGTTGACTTACGCTCCTTGAAAGAGGCCTCGCTCAGTAACCCTGACGGGCTAAAGGATACCGAGATTGCATTATCAACGCTGTATAAAGCTATGTTGATGATTGATTCTGATATATGGCAGAATAAGAGGCGATTAGCCGATGCGGCTGGGGATCACGGCAGCGTGGGTGTGTATGCTGATACGGAAATTGGCCAAATGCGTGCGATCAAGGAGAAGAAAGAGGAGTATCGCTCACAGTCCCAGTTGTTCTTGCAGCGACTTAAGCAGTTTATGGCTATTGCTTACAAGGTCGCTGAACAAAAAAGGGTCGACACTGCTGCTAATAGCACGAAAGATCCTATGAAGCTCGACAGTCGAGCACGAGAATACTTCCGCCGGGAGCTGTGGATGTATAATGCCTTGATGCTTTTCGCAAAGGAAGTCAGCGGCGCAGAGTGGCATGGACTTATCAATCTGTACGAACAACAGGCTAAACAACCTTACCAGAATGAGTTTCGGGACAATAGCCTTGCTTGGAAAAAGGCGTCGAGAAAGCCCTCTGGAGAGGAGCACGAGCTTCTGTTTACCCATCAGGAGAAAGAAAAGGAAAATGAAGGCATCACGATGGCCGCCAGAAAGTTGACCGTGAAACGAGGAAAGACTATGAGGGCTGCAGCGGGTCTACGGCTCCCTTCTGGTGACAAACAGCATGGACGTCTGGAACCTTATGAAGCGTTTGCAGGCGCTCTTCATGAGACCTTAGGCATGATATCAGAGGAGCAGAACTTTCTAGTTCATTTCTTCCACCTAAGCTCACTGTCGCACGTCGATTTCCCTGACCTCGTAGCATCTGCTCACCCTGAGGAGCGCCAGTTACCCGACTTTGGCGCCAAGCAGTTGCACGATACCGATCGAGGAATGGCAAGGAAGGTGGAACAGATTATGGACGAACTGTTTTCATTCTGGCCGAACGATATGCAGAGCCTTGTGGATTCGTCCATTCAGGTTGATCCTCTGTAAGTACATCACGGAACAGCTCCTTTCGTGCCGCGCTAACTTGTTACAGACAAGGAATAGGTATCCTGTTTGCTTTGGAAAAGGCTGTTCTGGATTTTGAAGACACCAACCAAGACTTTATTGTCCATTCACTCCAGAAACTCCATTCCCGGCTGATTGGTCTCTTTAATCGCTTTGTGGACGAGCAGATACGTGGAATTGAAGACACCAAGGTTAAGGTGAACAAGCGTAGGGGGGTCATCTCCTTCATGCGCGTCTTTCCCCATTTCTCCACGGCTGTTGAAAACATGCTGTCACAGCCTGCACAAGAGTTCTGTGATATTCGAATCAGTGTTAATGAAGCTTACAACCGCATCAACCGTGCCATGTGGGAGTCACTTAAGTTTATCGCCAAAGAAGCTCCTGGCC